CCAGGCATGGGGGGGGTGAGGTTTGACCTATTTTGTATGGGAGTGTCCTGGGCTTGAGAGCCAATGTGATTGTGTATTTGTTTCTACTGTGTTTTACTCTTAGGTCCAGGGGGGGTGCTCCTTGCATGAGGACTGTCATAAAAGGCCAGTTGTGGCTGCCATTAAACGGAATTCATTTTACCCTTCATGAAGTCTAGGCTCATGTTTGGGGGAATTAGAGAGCTATATTCACACACTGGGGATTGCTATAATCACTATACTCCCTTGGATCACAACACTTGCTCTAATAAGAGCAGCCTGCTTCGCTCTCGGGACTAGGAGAGGTCTACCCACTGGAAGCTGGATTCTGATCTTGGGTCCAGGGTGGGTGGAGGACAGCGAGACCCCAACCAAGCTGCGGCGGTTTGTGAGGTTTACAGTGGTTATTGTGTCCCAGTGCAGTGCTTATGGTGCTAGCAAATACTAGGAAGCAGCGATTGACGGAGGTACCTGGTTGGGGGGGAGTCAGGCGGTCCATCACACTCAGTTTGTGTCATATCTCAAAAAAAATTTATGCAGAACCAGTAGATAATGCCAGGGGCATGCTGAAACATTCCCACTACAGAATGCTGTAGTGATTATGGTGTTTAGTGTTCTGGATTTCCCATAGTGGGGACATTTACGGTGCTGCTTGCATGCACTGTGTCAAAATCCACAAAACAATCTAAATTGTATTTGACCAATACACTTCAATAGCGTGGCATTCTTAAAGGGACAATATAGTCACCCAGACCTCTTCATGTCAATGAATGTTTTTTTCTATCCTTATCACTTTATGTTTGTTACATTGTGACATATTATGGACAATAAAGCTACATTTATAGTGGCATTTCCTGTGGTGTGCATCCTGGGTTTAGATTTAGTTCTTTCCTTTAAACTACAATATTTACATTGCACAGTTAAAGGGACACTATAGTCACCAAAACAATTTTAGCTTAATGAAACAGTTTTGGTGTATAGATCATGCCCCTGAAGTCTCAATGCTCAATTATCTGCCATTTAGAAGTTAAATCACTTTGTTTCTTAACCCTAGTCCCACCTCCCTGCATGTGACTTGCACAGCCTTCCTAAACACTTCCTGTAAAGAGATCTCTAATGTTTACCCTTCCCTTATACACTAAAACTGCTTCATTAAGCTAAAAGTTGTTTAGGTGACTATAGTGTTCCTTTAACCCCTTCCCGACCCAGGACGGTTCAGGACCGTCATCGGCATTTTTGCCTTGCAGACCGATGACGGTCCTGAACCGTCCTAACGGTCTGAGCTACTTACCTGATCGCCGTCGTTCCCCCGGCGGCGATCAGCGTCTTCGATTGTGGGGAGACTGCCTGCAGCAGACAGTCTCCCACACTGAATTAGGACCTATTGCCATGTGATACGTTAACACAGCGTCACATGGTCTAATATAGGTAATCCACATGTGTCTGCCTGCAGGGGGACTGTCTGTGCTGACAGGCAGTCTCCCTGCTAGTAAATCATTTAAAAAATAAAGTTAATATTAATAAAAAAAATAATTATATATGTTGTATATATATATATATATATGATATATAGGCATATATTATATCTATATAATATATGTCTATATATCATATATATATATATATATATATATATATATATATATATATATATATATATATATATATATATATATAATGTCATACTATGTGTATTTTTATATTAATATGTACTTATATTAATATAACAAATACACACGTATATATATATAATATATATAATAACTATATATATTGTATATATATATATTATAAAATATAAATAAGTAATTTAAATTAAATAATTTTTTTTTAAATAATAATAAAAAAATTATATAGTTATATGAAATTTTATTCTAACTGTATTTTAAAATTAATATATATATATTGATATCAAAATACACTTAGAATGAATTTGTATATATATCTATGTATATAAAAATAATAAGAAATATACATATGTCCATATACAAAATTACATAAATAATTATATAAATATACACGTAGACTTCAAATATAAAAATATGCATATATATTTAAATTCTACGTGCGTATTTATGTAATATTTTTACATAATTCAGTAATTTTATTGATTGCAATTTGAGGGACCTGCCTGCCAACCCAGGCCGAAAGTCCAGAGAATGTAATTTGTTAGCACTGTATTTTACCCTGTAACGTTCTACGACACCCTAAAACCTGTACATGGGGGGTACTGTTTTACTCGGGAGACTTCGCTGAACACAAATATTAGTGATTCAAAACAGTAAAACATATCACAGCGATGATATTGTCAGTGAAAGTGACTTTTTTGCATTTTTCACACACAAACAGCACTTTTACTGATGATATAATTGTTGTGATACGTTTTCCAGTTTTAAACACTAATATTTGTGTTCAGCGATGTCTCCTGAGTAAAACAGTACCCCCCATGTACAGGTTTTATAGCATTTTTGAAAGTTACAGTCAAATATAAGGCTTGCATTTCATTTTTTTCACATTGAAATTTGCCAGATTGGTTATGTTGCCTTTGAGACCGCATGGTAGCCCAGGAATGAGAATTACCCCATGATGGCATACCATTTGCAAAAGAAGACAACCCAAGCTATTGCAAATGGGGTATGTCCAGTCTTTTTTAGTAACCACTTAGTCACAAACACTGGCCAAAATTAGCGTTCAATTTAGTTTTTTTACTTTTTTCACACACAAACAAATATGAATGCTTACTTTGGCCAGTGTTTTCGACTAAGTGGCTACTAAAAAAGGCTGGACATACCCCATATTGAATACCCTGGGTTGTCTACTTTAAAAAAAAATATGTACATGTGGGGTGTTATTTAGAGATTTATGACAGATAATAGTGTTACAATGTCACTATTGATAAATTTTAAAAATGTATGTTTTGAAACCACAATATCCTACTTGTACCTATAGCCCTATAACATGCAAAAAAAAAGCAAAAAAGCACGTAAACACAGGGTATTTTTAAACTCAGGACAAAATGTTGAATCTATTTAGCAGTTTTTTTCATTCGCTTTTGTAGATGAGTAAAAGATTTTTCAAGTAAAAGTCAAAAAACATGTATTTTTTTCAATTTTTCATCAGATTTTTTTATTTTTTTTAAATTAAAATACATGAGATTATATAAATAATGGTATGTAAAGAAAGCCCCCTTTGTCCTGAAAAAAACAATATATAATTTGTATGGGAACAGTAAATGAGAAAGCGGAAAATTACAGCCAAACACAAACACCACAAAAGTGTAAAAATATGCCTGGTCGCAAATGTACAACATCGCAAAAACAGTCCAGTCCTTAAGGGGTTAAGTCCATCTCCAGCGACTGTCAGTATAAAAGCCACAAGAGTCACTTCCACTGCACTGACTGAGTAACAAAAATCAGAAGTCCCCATAGGAAAGCGTTGGATTGGACATCGGCAGATGTGGTCATGCCTTCTCTGTGACATTGCAAGAGGACAGCAGCTGGAAACCTTTTTTTTTTACGTTTTATTGCAAATGGGGAGATCGATTTCTGACTATGTTTGTAATCCTAATGCTATAGTGTTTTTTTATAACAGGAATACAAGCATAGGGGATTTAACCACAGAAAATGTCATCATATACAGTAATCAAAGCCTGTACTAAGGAGACCAATGGATGTAGGGTAGAACTGTTGGTCTATAGATTATTGATCAAGGGTTGCTATTCTCTGGACAATAGGATACTAGCCAGACAAGCGTATAAATCAATGGCACCACCTTTTATGCAGTACCAAGGGCATACTACCAGTGATCACCTGTAAAATGTCTAGGTTAAAAAGCAAAAAAAACAAAACCAAGCCCAGGGATAAGTGGGCCCTGGGTAGCACTCAATCAGAAGGTGGTGAACCAGGAAGTGGTGCAGTTTTAGCCTGGAATTGTTGCCTATATTCGATGAGGGTAATACCATATCCCACTTAGATGTACTGGAGGGCACAGAGCAGACCCCAATATTTGAGATACCTGTACTCTGCAGAACCAGATTGCCATGACAATGGGACAAGATTGAGGGACATGCTATGACAGTACATGAGAGAAAGAAAAATACTGACATAACTATAAGTATATAAAAAAATAAAACACTCTTAAAGACAGGAGGTAGTAGGATAACTGAATTATCTAGTAATTTCAAGTAATATAACGTCAAAAATATACATGAAAAAGAGACAAACCTCAGTTCACTGTTATAAGTAAAATATTTTCTATGTAATGTATACCTTCAGTGCCATGTTCAAATATTTACCATTAGTAAATGATCCTCACTGAGAAACCTTTATGAAATATGAATACTACAGAATTCACTGTTACCCTAAGGCAAACACCTTTTACAGAAACCCCCAAATAAAGATAATATACAGCCACACACCCGTTATATTATTATAATTATTATTAACAGTTGCCCTCTCATTGAAATGAACAATTCAGGATTAGTGCCCTCCAGATACCCCACTGCCAGACCCTGTAGGTCCTGCATGCCCACTGCTAGCCACTCTGTACCTGGCATGAAGCTCACAAACCATTAGGACCATGCAAGCCAATAAAGCTCATGCTGTGCACTCCTCAAAGCTCCCCGTTCGGAAACAAGACCCCGAGAGAAACGTTCCGCCTCCTAAAAAGTCATTTACAAGTGGAATAATTCAAATTAAAATTATATACATATAAAGACAAATATGACCCACGGCTATATGGCTAACATACATCTCTATACATCCATGTTTGTGGACTAAGGTCCCCCACAATATTTAAACATGGAGACATTCAAAGCCTCATTAAAAAAAAAAACAAAGCCTGAAAAGGGTGGTCCACGACCAGCCATTGCTCTTCTACAATAATTTAATTTAATAATTGTGTTATTGCAGAGGGTGAATTGGAGCTTGGTTTGGTTGTAGGTCGGAACCTTTCTTGTTGTCCTTGTTTCCCTACGGCGTTTACTGACCACTGCACGGTTTCAGGCATTGCAGTATCCAGGGACCAGCTACGTGGAACGCATGGTGAATATAGGGCTCTTCTCCCAGAGCAGAGTCAGGGCTGGGATAAGGATGGCTGATGGGAGGGAGATGGTGCTAATAATGGTTGTAAGAGGACAACTGGCTATATTTTATTTAATAATGGGGGGGATAGTGAGCTGGACATATGGCACATGTCATGAGCTCTGCTATATGTACATTGCATCTAATCACATAAGAGTGGTCCTGGACTAAATTACTTGGAATTATTACACATTATAGTATTATTTAATATACAGGGGAGAAAAACTGACATTATCATATCAGTCACACACTCATTTGGATTGTATGATAAATGCTAGGATTGTACTGTTATTATTTCCCAGATTCCAAGAGATTATTATTATTAGAATTTATATAGCGCCAACTTATTCCGCAGCACTTTACAATATTATAAAAGGGGGGGGGATTTAACAAAATGTTACAGGAACAATAGGTAGATGAGGACCCTGCCCGAACGAGCTAGAGATTCATTTTTTTTATTGTGATGACTAAGATACTACATGCTAAACTACACAGGATTGCAAACAAAGCATGTAGAGCTACTTTATGTAATGATATAAACTAAGGCTGATAGGTAAAATAGGTTTTATTACTTTCAAAATTACTGATCTATGCAAATAGATTGTTTTTATGATTATTATTGAAACCCTGGCATGACACTTACAATAAATTTGCACATTTGTTTAGCAAAGTTTTCCAATAGAAGGATACGTGAATTATTAACGGGTTGACCTTGATGTACTTTCGTCTTTTAACAGCCTAGATTGCTATGTAACTATGTAATTGTTTAGAAGAGCTGAAAAGGTAAAAGTTTTTTTTTTATAAAATCTCTGATACCAGTTGATAAACATGACTCTAAATCAGTGGTTCCCAACCCAGTCCTCAAGTACCTCCTACCACTTCAAGATTTAGGGATTGGCTAATTGTGTCTAAAGAAGAAAAAAAAACACTTAAGACACAACAGGGTAATCCCTAAATCCTGAAGTGATAGGGACTACTTGAGGACTGGGTTGGTAGCCACTGCTCCAAATAATTGTTAGGGGCAGCACCCCCTACATGTACAAATAGATACTTTGCCATAGAGGGAATATAAATGTGGCTTTCTATAAAATAAATTTGTGCATGTTTGTAAGAAATGACTATATATCAAGTTTAAATGATGCATTTCTTCAGCAAATACATCCTAAAAATAATTCTGAGTTGTCTTTGTTAATTTCTATAATTTTTAAACAAAACTTTCAAACTGCCTTGTTGCATCATCCTTTTTACTGCTAAGAAATACTAATACCGGTACTTAGTTCTCGCATCATCCTGGCTTCCTCTGTTTATTTTATAGGGATTGCAGTTACATATTTAAAAAGTACAGAACCTTTTTTGAGCTTCGAAAGAAAACTTTGCATCATTGTGCTCAGAAAAGAAATGGCTGATAATGAATCCGGTCCTCTCACTCCACTGGAGTTGTATGATAGATTGACAGCACAAGGGGACAGAGTACGAACATTGAAGACTGAAAAGGCATCGAAGGTATGTTGTTGTTGTTTTTTAACACTTGTTGCATACCTGACTTGTGAGCAAATCTATATTCAGCAACGATCAAGTATCTTGCACGAAATTTCACAAATGAAGTGCATTCAGCGCTGATTGCTGCCACTGGCAACATTTTTTAAAATATTAAGCAAGTGGGGGAGATCACCAGACCCTCAACCAACACATGACAGGACACAAAGTGAAGTTGGCAAGCACTGGAACTGGTGTTTGCCAGATAAAAAACACATACTCCATGCTGTACACTCATTTAATGCTTGACAGTCAGGGGAGGTTTTAGAACCAAGGCACACAGTTCTTGGGACTAACTCCTCTGCCAGTGCGTTCCTGCCATAGGAGTGATATGTCTTTCCTATCCTATAGTCCTCTTGTAAGACACTAAACAACTAAAGTTCACATGCTATAGTTGCTGTGAGAAGGGAGCAATGTATGTAGGGGAATTCTCATTTGTCACTTAATTCTCAGCTTGCTTTCTTCCGCCCAGCTAACAGAAATAAAAGCGTGCACAAACGGTCACACCAAAGAAATCCAGGAATTGTTGCTCCAATATAAAAATGTTTTATTCCATCACGTCTGATTACAGCCACCTCACTTAACTAATTCTGTGTTGCACAGAACACTTACTGGGTTATTCACTGAAGTAAATGAATTTAAAATTTAAGGCCAGACTAGACGAAACGGAAACATTCTCTAATTCAGCTATGCTTCCAGTTCAGCTACTTTGACCTAAATTTTCAAATTCACACTTTGAATTATTACTTTAGTGAATAGCCCTGTTAATTGTAATATTTAATGTTGTGTGCTCTGATTCATACGTTTTTGAACTATAAAATGCATGTGATGTTGGCACAATTTTGCTTATCATGAGCTAATGGGGTGTTACACATTATATAAGTGGATAAAATCCATTTCGTAGTATCTCTTTTTACTCTTTCACTACTGCCAAATGTCTGTTTTCTGTACTCTTCAGGATATTAATTCTCATGGTAAAGATTATTTTTTTTAAAATAAACATGTAAATAGAATGTGTGTTTTTAGGCCTATTTTTGCTTTATGGCACTGTCTGTTTCAAAAGAAGGTATGTGTAACTTGACATCAATCTTCAAAACCCCTGGGTTGGTGGAAAAAATTATCTTTCCAAATTAAAGGGACTGGTGATGTCACTCCCATATATGGCTTCTAGTTTAAAAAAATAAATAAATTGGAGGCCTAGGACACATGTGTACCAATAACCGTGCTCTTCTGATTGGAGCTTTCTCACGGAGAAGCACTGAATCCACTGCTTCTCATAGAGAATCTTTTACACTATGCAGTGTCAACGTGCTGCGTGTGTTTCTGCTGAACTTGAAGACCATCAAAAATTGAAGCCTCTAGTCCAGGGATAGGCAACCTTCGGCATTCCAGATGTTGTGGACTACATCCCCCCATAATGCTCTTATACCCATAATGCTGGCAAATCATCATGGGAGGTGTAGTCCTGCCTGCTCTAGTCAGTCTGATAACCACATGCTTGTATATTTTTATGAATGCTTTGCAGCATTGACTATGAGATGGTGTATCTAAACCCTCCAGGGGAACAATTGTTTTAGTTATCTTATTGTACGAGGAAAACAAAAATAATTAACCTAGGACCAAAATTTAGATATCACAAGGTAGAGGGCACAAAAAAGGGGGGTAACCCCTAAATGGTGAATCAAGTTCATTTATGTCCAGCATTTCAGGAGTGCATATTGGAGACTCTTAACACTAATTTTGTGTACTCTGTACATACTTTATTTCTCTTTCTTTTTCCTTTATTATGTGTATGGGGGGAGATTGATAAGACCAGGCATTTTATTAAGGGGTGCCCTCGAAGGCACAAGACTTAGGAATCTTTTATTCTATATGCCTTCCTCTGTCACTGTCTGTATATTTTCTACTACCTAGGCAACCTGTTCAAAACTGTTTGTAAACCCTCTCTTTATACTTTGACCTATTATTTAGATGCAGCTAGCATTTAGGCAACTTGTGTGATTTTTAACCAGTTAACTGCTGCCTGTCAGCAGTCCTTCACAGGTGAGCTACTACTTTGTGCTCCACTGTGGTCAAGCATAAGTTAACATCATTCAGTGCAGGCAGCTGTTGTAACACTAGAATATACTGCTAGGTATCTTGCTAGGTATCAGGTCAGCAACCCCTTATTTTACACTTTACTGCTTGACAGCAAGCTTTAATTTATTATCAAAATGCTGCTATGATCTAGGCAGCTTTTGTGATATTTAACTGGCTAATCGCCGTCTGTCAGAAATCTGTCTTAGCTGAACTATTGACAGCACTGGTTTAGCAGTTGTCTTATCTCCCCCCCCCCTTTTGCTACAGCTATTAGTGATATATAATACAGTATCACTTCTATTACTTGGGAATACACTGATGTTATATTGTAGCTAAACAGTATTGCTTCAGCATTAGTGTTATTATGTATACACTTTTACAGCTTATATAAGTAGTCAGAGTTTTACTCGCCGTATAGTCATCATTTACTCCTGCTGTTCATATTATTTTTCTCTTTTTTATATTCTTATTTTAGATTTATTTATTAAAAGTTACTTTTTAATCTACAGTCTTCTCAGTAAATCATACACAGGTAGAATGGCATTTGTTTCTTTTTCTGTTTATTCCCTAGTTATCTTATTGTTTACATTGTATGGACAGAAGCAAGTATTCATTTTACTTTGGACATTCTACACCAGTGTCTACCAACCCAGTCCTCAAGGACACTAACAGTCCAGGTTTTGTCAGTATCCGCAATGGAACAGAACTGTCTCAATTATACCTTTTAATTTTTAAGTGATTAACCTGCTTTCTTAACTGATTAAAAAGCATTATACAAGTTCGAGACAGATCCCGTGTTATAAGAATCTGTCACGAGTTGTCATGTGGATAGTATAACATGTTATTCATTTACTTGAGTTTGCTTTTGTCTTTAGAGTGATATTGATGAAGCCGTAAAGCAGTTGCTGGCTCTTAAAGTGGACTACAAGACTTCAACTGGGCAAGATTATAAGGCTGGCTCGCCTCCGACAGATGCCACTCCTGTCATTCAAAACGGCCCTCCAGATGACGAAGACGATTTTGTTGATCCATGGACAGTTCAAACGGGCAGTGCAAAAGGAGTGGACTATGACAAGCTAATAGGTGAATAATAAAATATATGTAAAACAAAATGGTATACAATATTTTGTTTGTCATAAAATCCAGCCTCAAAGGAATACTGAAAACTTTATAATATATGCTTCTTTCATAGGTTACGGTGCACCCCCTTTCCCTGTCTCTTGTGTTTAACCACTTAATTCTGCAAGGGACTTTGAATAAGAGTGTAGTATTAGTAGAGTAAACTAAAGTGTACGGAAGGTCCCATGTGTTTGTCCATGCTTTTGTTCACACAGTTGACCTTGTATTTTTTTTTTAGATAGATTGTACACATGTAGCTGGGTTTGTATCACACTATGTTTTTCCCCCAGGCAAAAAGTCCAATGACCATCTTTCTCAGACTCGGTTTGCTAACATCTCCAACATATAACAATAACCATAACATTTAATTATGAAATTTCTCCCCAATGAGTTAAAAAAAAAAAAAAAAAAACACATTTGAAATTCTGCAAAATAGCTTAAAATCTTTTGTTGCAAAGATATTTTGAAAACCTGTATTAGTAACAGTGGCATATACAAGTCTCCCCTGTGAATGTAAGCTAAAGTACCAGGTATTTTAGAGCTTTGCAAACAAAGCGCTTTGATTTCAGCCAACATTTATTTTTAAATAAAAATGTATCTCATCTAAATTTGATCATATAGCCTGTAGCAAAATAAAAGGGACAAGAAATATTTTTTCCAGTTTCTGCAGCCACGCGAAGTGTTAGGCTGCCCCTTTAATTGTTGTCTTTTGTTTCTTTGGCTGTTTTTATTATTGCGTGATTAAATTATATTGATCAGATTGTCAAACTGTAGTCTTTTCCTTTGTGAATGTTTTGCCTGTCTTCTGTGTTTAAGTGTAAGCATTACAGTTCTAAACGTATTCAGCAATGGCACCAAATATTTAAAAGATTAAAGTTTACCTTTCTTTATTTAGTTCGATTTGGAAGCAGCAAAATTGACAAGGAACTTATTGATCGTATTGAGAGACTCACTGGGAAAAAAGCACATCACTTTTTACGAAGGGGGATATTTTTTTCACACAGGTATGGATTTTTTTTTTTTTTAAATGCTATTGTACAATTATCATAGTAGCAAAATAAATTTTATTGTATTATTTTACTATATACATTTGTATATGAGTAGGTGGCAGTAAGCAGGTATGGTAGACCTGCAATGCTATAATTGCATATGAATGGTTTTGCACAAGGTATTGTGGGATGCAAGGAGTATATTTAAAGTGCATGTACAATACAATTCACTGGCCTAGTAGATATGAACCATTTCTTTTTATATGGTAGTACAGTTCCCATCATAAACTTTAGAAAAAGAAAACTACACATTAACTAGTTTACTTTTAAAGGAACTCTCCAGTGCCAGGATCACAAACCGTTTTCCTGGCACTGCAGGTCCCCTCTCCCTCCCACCCCCATCCCAGGTTGCTGAAGGGGTTAAAACCCCTTCAGGGACTTACCTGTATCCAGCGCCGATGTCCCTCGGCACTGGGTCAGAGTCCGCCCACGCTCCTCCCCCGCCAAAGTTATCCGGCGGGGATGACCTGTTGAGCATGCACAGCGGGGGAGACCTAATGCGCATGCGCAGCAATGCTGCGCACACGCATTAGACCTCCCCATAGGAAAGCATTAAATAATGATTTCCTATGGGGATTTCAGCGACGCTGGAGGAACTCACATAGCGTGAGGACGTCTAGCGACTTTATAAGTATCCTCTAGTGGCTGTCTAGTAGACAGCTACTAGAGGAGGACTTAACCCTTCAAGGTAAATATAGCAGTTTATGAAAACTGCAATAATTACACTTGCAGGGTTAGGGGTAGTTGGCACCCAGACCACTACAATGGGCAGAAGTGGTCTGCGTGCCTGGAGTGTCCCTTTAAGCACATTTTGGGTGTTTTTTAAAGGGACACTCCAGGGTTGGTGTGCAGCTTCAATTGGGTATGCACCGTGGCAAGTGTTTTATTGGATGATTACTAATTTGTCTACCTTGGAGATAAGAAAAGAGGGCAGAACATTATAGAAAAATAAATTCTATATAACTATATTGTTCATTATATATCTAATGATACCCTTTCACTCAGGACATTTTTGGAAAAAGACAAATAAACCGTTTTTACCAAGCAGTGCGTATTTTAGTACCAGACTATGAGTGATGTTACACTGCTTAGCCTACCTAGGACACGATTGATAATCCTCCCGCTGATATTTCTCTGCAAACCACATCAGTATCAAAAATTCTCCCTGCTTCCTTCTAGATATTGTTGGACTAAATAAACTTGGCCTTCTAAACTCAAAGAAAATGACTTTGTTTCTCAACAGAGACATGCATCATATCCTCGATGCGTATGAGAACAAGAAGCCATTTTACATCTATACTGGAAGAGGCCCGTCCTCGGATTCAATGCATGTTGGCCACCTCATCCCTTTTATCTTTACAAAGTAAGTGTGATAAACGGTAATGTTTATAGGATAGATAAATAGTTATCACATGTTCATGTTACATGTAAAATATTGATAAGTGGGAATGTTGCATGTGATGTTTAAATAATACCAAGTTCCCCTAAAATTTCTATATTGTTATACCTCAATACGTGACAGAATAGTAACACAAACACAAGAGAACTGACACAAAGTTAGGACCAGATACAGCAGGCCAGTAGAACCTCATTTATAATCGCCCTACACCGAGAGCCCTTACACTACTCACCTGTACCTTAAAGCATAACTTACACAACGTCCACACATCACCCATTAAGCTAACAAAAACCTACGGACCCACGGACCTACTAGCGAACAGAGCAGACTGAAACATATGAAACAACAAAAGGTAGAAGAAAACAAAAACAGGAAACTTGCACATAACTCAAGGCACGATACACAGCACTGGTAGGACACTGTCAGTCATAGCAAAGGAAATGTATCTGATGGAATGCAATATAATATACGCTGTCATGGTGTCAACACCAGATTTAAATTTATGCTATGCAAATTAACCTCCCCTTCCCCTTGCTTTCTATTCTGTACCCCGGAAACACACTAATAAAAATTGTCAAATTGAAAACTAATACCAAGTTATGTATATTAAGGAAACTCCAGCCAATTATTTGTTAACATGCAAGGAAGACAAATTTGGAGTAAATATCCCAAATATTTTGCATGCTAGTAAATATTTCTTATTTTCATAGCACTTCTGTTGGTGTCCAGGCCTTGTAGCCATGGTAGATTTGTACACTCACTATAGAGCTTAGTGGGTGGATGGCTTATTATCCTAATTAGGTGCACAGTTACTTAATCAGTTAAGTATTTACTTAATATGGGTTAATCCAGCCTCTAGTGGCTGTCTCATTGACAGCCGCTAGAGGCGCTTCTCACTGTGATTTTCACAGTGAGAAGACGCCAGTGTTCATAGGAAAGCATTGAGAATGCGCGCACGGCTCTTGCCGCGCATGCGCATTCAGCCGATGACGTCCAAAGGAGGAGGAGAGACCGTGCGCCGAGGAAGCCCGGCGCTGGAGAAAGGTAAGTGATTTAACACCTTCCTCTCACTTCAGCCCGGCAGGAGGGCAGGGTGAGGGTGGGGGGGACCTATTAATACTAGGCACTATAGTGGTACTTTAATTAGGAACTAGTAGTTCCACTCCATGTTCATAAAGAGAAACCTATTTGGATGTAACACAGTTTCCATATGTAATAGTGAATAATAATAAGAGCAGATAGCTGTATGTTTTCTCTGTTTTTTACTTCCCATCAACATTTGCAGAACAGACAGTCTTATAAAGAAAGACATATACGCTGTCTTGAAGGCTTTCTTTCACAATGTTCGAGAATCCTGTATCTCTGTTCTATTCTGTGCCTCACGCTGAATACCATAATCTGCGTGAGGCAGAAAATACGACAAAAATGCATCGCTTGTGAACAGGACTTTTCGACCGATGGAGAACCTCTTGGTGACAGACAAATAGAAGAGGAGGAGGTAGGTGAGTATATTTCTTAATACCTTACATAGACATGATTAACAGGGAAAACAACAGCTTTTGTTTCAATAGTTAGTTAAAGCTTTGTAATGAGCTGAACTTTGTTTCAGGTGACTTTTACTTCTAAGCGTCTCATATTTTGCAAAGACCCAGGATAATGACTGCTCCGTTTGCTGTGGCGTGGCCCAGAAGCTCAGGGGAAGGCAGTTTTTACTTAACTGAACTGACCCCTCGTGAGAGGCGCTATCATCTTCCGCAACACCTTTACCTGCCAGAAACCGACGTCTGGACTGTACTCTCGTCGCATGCGCAAAGATACAACGCAGACGTCTAAGATGATCCTCCATAAAAAGAGCCTTATTCCCCTCGGCCATCACTAGTGAGGGCTTGGCAAATCGTAGCACCACCTATTGTCAAGCATAGGAAAAATACAGAAGACCGAGTAGTCCCCAATTTGTCTTGTATCATCTTTTCACTGGGTTGGAATTTTTGTGAAATTCCAAGAAAATCTTTATGAGTGTTTCATAGAGATTTTATCTTTGTGAAATGCTCAGGTTTTATTGTTGATGTGTTTTCTTTTTAGGACATTGCTGCTTTAACCTTGCAAAAACCTTCTTTCCCCCTATCAGGTTTGATCTCCAAGAGAGACCTGTCTGTTGCTTTAATACTGAAATGCACCTGAACAGTCTTGATGATGTTCTCTGCTTTAAAATTCTCTTTTTATTTTGTTCCCATTCTCAGGTGGTTACAAGAAGTGTTTAATGTCCCCCTGGTGGTCCAATTGACAGATGACGAGAAGTATCTGTGGAAAGATCTGACCATTGAGAAAGCTTACCAGTACACCATAGAAAATGCCAAAGACATCATCGCTTTAGGCTTTGATGTAAATAAAACTCTCATATTCTCAGACCTTGAATATATGGGGTAAGTAACATGCTATGTGTTTATCCAAAACAAATGCAAGCCTCACTTTTTCTAGCGAAAGGTCATGGTTGAGTTAATTTCGAAATAAGGACATGACGTAAAATGACCTTTCATGTATTCTTTTAGAAAGTGTTTAGGCAAGAACAATACAATGAGATGTTTGTGTTTATTATTTGATTGTAATATTGTGCAACCCTTTCATTATGTCATGAAGAATAATACCGTAGGTAGATACAGCTAGTGCCATCTGATTAGCTGTTGTTACTATAATTTCATGAATAGTACTGTAATGGGGGTAAAATAAGACTTCATATGTACAGCAACACAAGCTGTGGGTTTCCTTAAGTGGCATCTCCGTTTGCTTAGAACAGGCCGGTGGAACCAATGAATGGAAATCTTGATGGACCATCAGCACTACATAAACATCATGCCAGCCAAACAAATCTAAACAATGACATGATGACACACAATGCTTGTGTTGATCAAGTTCTCCCTGAATGTCTAATGAATGGGTTTAGAATTGGAGTTTCTGAAGAACACAAAAGTAGATTGAATATTATAGAGATTTGCTAAAAAATAAAATGCCAGCCAGTTTGTGCTAGATATACAGTTTTGTGGTTTATTTCTACTTTTAAACTCCACATATAGCATTGTTGTAATCCGCTACAAGTGTAGGCGTTCTTTTTAACACTGCTCCATCTGTCTCAGTATATCTTGTGCTGATCCTTATTAGACTGAGATCATGCATAAATCATATTTCAATCCATTTCTGTATCGTACGGTTTTTACGTTCCATTCTAGAACCCTTCTTAATTTCAGAACAACAAACACCAAAAGCATAAAGATTCCCCAAGGAATACAGTAGTCCTCTCTAGCAAGTCTAACTAAAGGCTTAGAAAAATGTGACCAGATTAAACAAAAAGACCCTGCATTATTTTTTATTCTGTGTACAATGTATCATTACAAAATTTCACGTGAACATAAATCCATGTTCTGCTATAACATATGGGGGATTTTTTGGGGGTCGGGGGTGTCGCACTCTCTGGATCTTTTGATATTAGTAAATTATTTACATTCTGAGTTCCTACACTAAAATATAACACTTTCATCAATGGACAATACACTAATCAGCCACAACATAAGTCATTGTATTGTTGTTACTATAAAAAATGTTTAGTTTTGTTTTGATGATACTCTTTTTGTACATTTGATGTATGTATCTCCATATGCAATTTGTCTTATATGTATTCAATATAAAAGTATTGCATCATTTGATGTTAAAATATAAAACCTTTAATAAAAATATAAACAATAAATAAATAAAAAAAACACTGACAGGTGAAGTGAATAACATAAATTATATCGTTACAATGGCACCTGTCAAGGGGTGGGATATATTAGGCAGCAAGTGAACAGTCAGTTCTTGGATTTCATGTGTTGGAAGCAGGAAAAATGGGCAAGTGATAAGATCTGAGAGACTTTAAAGGGAAACTCCAGTGTCAGGAAAACAATCCGTTTTCCTGGCGCTGCAGGTACCCTTTCCCTACCACCTCCCACTCCCCGGTTGCTGAAGGAGTGAAAACCCCTTCAGTGACTTACCAGAGGCAGCGACGATGTCTCACGTTGCTGCTTCTTCCTCCCTCTGATTTCGGTGGGCGAGACTGATCCTGCCCAATGGCCGGGGAGACCTAATGCACATATGCGGCAATGCCGCGCATTAGCGCTCCCCGTAGGAAAGCATTGAAAATACATTTCAATGCTTTCCTATGGGGAAATGAGCGATGCTGGAGGTCCTCACACAGCGTGAGGACGTCAAGCGACGCTTGTGCTAGAAACCAGGAAATGCCCTCTAATGGCTGTTTAGTAGACAGCCACTAGAGGTGGAGTTAACCCTGCAAGGTAATTATTGCAGTTTATAAAAAAACTGCAATAATTACACTTGCAAGGTTAAGAGTAGTGGGAGTTGGCACCCAGACCACTCCAATGGGCAGAAGTGGTCTGGGTGCCAGGAGTGTCTCTTTAACAAGGGAAAAATAATGAGGGATAGACAACTTGGTCCGAGCATCACTAAACCGGCAAGTCTTGTGGGATGTTACCGGTATGCAATGGTTAGCACGTACCAAAAATGGAAGGGTAACAGGGGAACCAGTGCTCATTGATGCATTTGGGGAACGAAAGCTAGCCTGTCTGATCCAATCACAAAGATGAGCTACTGTAGTTCAAATTGCTGAAAAACATAATGCTGGCAATGATAGAAAGATGTCAGAACACACAGTGCGCCACAGTTTGCTGCGTAGTCGCAGGCCGGTCAGAGTGTTCATGATGACCACCATGATTCAATACTGTTTGAAAAACTTTTCAAATTATTTATCTCCAGAGGTCACTGTTTAAATTCTATGTGATTTTTTTATAGATAAATCATTTTGATATGATTTTTTTTTCTAACAGTTTTGAATAATTTGGAAAGTTTATTAAATTGAGGCCTGTTTCGGAGGATTACCTTTAATAATGCTCTTCACTTTTATTAGGATGAGTCCTGGTTTCTATAAAAACGTGGTGCAGGTCCAGAAGCATGTAACATTCAACCAAGTGAAAGGAATATTCGGTTTCACAGACAGCGACTGTATAGGTAAGATGGCAATAAAACTTTACATAAAGATGGCAGCCACAGACTAAACATAAGCATATTTAAATGTAGCTAGGCTAGCGGGCACCTGATATACCCATCAGAATGTATTTAAAAGTATCTTGGTTTTTTACTATGGATATGCTTCACATTGCTTGCTGTATGTTGCTAGTGTGCACACTGCAGTGGTTATGGTGTCATGGCACTTCCCCACTTCTGATTGTATGGAATCACATCATTTTATAATTGTTTGACTTCTTAACTGGGAGCCCCCAAAAGCAGCTCCGATACAGATTACAGAGCATCAGCTTATCACTCTCAGTTAATGAACTAAGCCTTCCACCATCAGGCTTTGCTTAGTAATGAGAGCATACATGCCGGACTCTACGTAAGAAGTCAACCATTCTGAAGTGCTCTGTAGTGGTTATGGTTCTTGGAGTGTACTTCTAAAGAACAGTAATTGCAATGTGAACTCTAATTAGAAAAGAGCCATGTAAGAATCTTACAATTAAGCTGTGATATACTTTTTTATTTTTCCCCTCGAAGTGTTAGAAAACAGGTGAGAAATCTCGCAGATCCCAGCAGTTAAGTTAGTTTTTATAAAAACGTGAGTTAGCAAGAATGTACACAACAACGCCTCTTTTAAAGTGGGCTTGTGTACACACCAGGTGTGAAAAAAAAGCATTGCGTCCTTCTGTAGACACATTGTGTGCTCGATTAACACATTGTTCAGATTCTTTATCGGCAGTTATTGCAAGCTAGGTTTTCATATACCACAAGAGAGAACATTCAAAATTAATTACATACCTTTATTCTTTGGGAGTACATATACTAAATTGTTTGTTTTTTCAATGTATTTTTATTGGAGTGTTTCAGATTCCTGCCAAATTTATGTTTATTGCTTTAATCACTTTATTGGTTTCAGGAAAAATCAGCTTTCCTGCAATCCAGGCCGCTCCGTCATTCAGCAGTTCGTTCCCAGAAATTTTCAACGGCAGAAGAGATATTCAGTGTCTCATTCCATGTGCAATTGACCAGGTAGGAAGCCATTGATGATTGGATTTTGAGGAGGGAGTAAGGGAGTTTATTAAAACGATAAGTCACCTTTACTGAGCTTCATGAGAAATAAAGTTCAAAAACCTCTGCTGCGCCAACATTGGCCATCATTGTGTTTATAGTCATATCAAATGAAGTCTAACAAAAATACTGTAAATTATTTTTTTTTTTTAAAAACAAAAAAACTTTCTGCAGCAATTTGCATATTTAATGAAAGTCCACTCGCAAATGCAGTTATTAAACCCAAGATATTTCAGTATTAACAGATGCCTTTCTTGTCATTTGTATTTAATTTTATGTCCTGCAAAATTCCAAAGGAAAGGTATACCTGAAAGTATTTAAATGAAGGAGCTATAGGATATTAAATTAATTTGACTGGTTACGTTATCATGCCACTTTTCAGATGCCCTCACATTCCTCCAAATGATGCCCGAGGTCTAATGCGCAACAGACTGAATCCAATTTACTGAATCCAATTGATATGTTGTACTAAAAGTGTAATTTTAAATAATCAAGGCACACATTGACATTGAGAAATACTCTATCAAATGAAGCATTGCAGGGTAATATATAATTTTTTTTAGGATAAATTTTTTTAATTATAAAATATTTTAATAATTAGATTTTTAATTTATATATATTTTTTTTATATATTTATTTTATTTATATATATATTTTTTTTTTTCCATTAGGATCCATACTTCCGAATGACAAGGGACGTGGCCCCCAGAATCAGTTACCCAAAACCAGCGCTGATGCATTCGACATTTTTCCCAGCTCTACAAGGAGCGCAAACTAAAATGAGTGCCAGTGACGCCAACTCATCTATATTCCTGACGGACACACCCAAACAAATAAAGACAAAGGTAAAGTTAATACTGCACAAGGCAAAAACTGGCCAACCTTGAATGACATGCTCTGCAATGTATATTGGGAGAATTGTCAAGTCAAGTGTGGTTATCCAGCGTGCAATTTTATTGGCTTGAAAAAATGCGCTCTGAAATGTATCGCCTTCTTTAATATGACAAACAAATGCATTGGAGTTTCCAGTGCAGTTAGGAATTCTTTGACTTTCTGGTGAATTTAATTTTAAAAAAAGACAACGATTGGTCCCTGAGATACACTGCGTATTTGTTACTCCATACGGTCATTACATATTCCCTCAAAAATTCCTGATGTTAATCTAACTTAATTATAGTTGTAATTACTACTTCAAAATATTTTAGATCTTCAAGGTAGAGCTGGCCGTGGGGTTGCAATACAATTTTCAAGCTCTCATCGGTGGTTACTGAATACAAGGACCAATGAATGATGTCAACAATGTACACGTTTGATTGGTTCCTCTAAGCTGCGTGTCTCATTCACCTGAACATTCCATTTAAAAAGTTTGGGTTCTAAAAAAACAAACAAACAAAAAACAACAATTTAGTAGATAAACCCCTTCAGAAAATATGCATGTTATTTCCTTTGCCTATTATCTAGGTCTAGTATTTGCATGTACTGCACCCCCTCCCCTTCTTTGAGCACAGGCTGATCAACGATTGTATTACAGCTCACCGAGAAGTCTTTACAAGGCAGGTGATCTGGGCTTCGGGAAATAACAAGATATACTGCCTGACAGCTGGGGAGGTGTAACAAGGTTTAGTTATAGAAGTGCTGATTTCTATTGAAATTGGCACTTTTTATAAAACGAAAAAAGAGGTCATACTCTTCTCACATAAAGCACTTAAGCAAACTGAAGTGATTTGTATGTTTTGAGTGTTCCTTTAACCTGTGCTGTATACTGAAAGAAAACTGAGCTAAGCATGAAGTCTATTTTCCATATTCTTTTTAAAAGGCATAGACTCCTTCAGATTGCTAGGTGGCAGTGCACATCAGTTCATATGACAGCCACTTGAATCTAAAAGACTGTACATCTTTGATAGTTTTGAAGAATACAAATAAAAAATGAATATCTTCCTACGTTGCATAACTTGTGATGATACTATTTTCATAAAATTAATGATTTGTATAAGATGTGTGTATTTGATATGGTTCTGTTTAACTGAACATGTCCTGTTTTATATGAGGATTTTTTTCCAGCTGAATAGATGCCATTGGGGTTAGACTACGGAACTAAACTCACACAATTAATAAGCTGTCTGGTGAACAGACACCCCTTCTTAGCGACCACAGCTGTTCTTGTTGAGAGTCTTGGTTTGTCGTCCATTACTTGCCAGTCCAAGAACGGCAACTGCAGCCCCTGAGCTGGACTACGATTCCCATTATTTACTAACAAACCAAGCCTGAAAGAAAATATAATAAGCTCCATATTATTGTTCCTTTTCTCACAGGTCAACAAGCATGCATTCTCTGGAGGTAAAGATACGATTGAAGAACACAGGAAATATGGAGGAAACTGCGAGGTCGATGTCTGTTATATGTATTTAACTTTCTTCCTTGAAGACGATGAGAAACTTGAGCAAGTGAGACAGGTACGAAACAATATTGACTTAAAGGTACCTTTACTTAGTTGCGATCATGGTTATTAAACTAGGACGTTTTCAAATATGGCTAGAACATAAAATGGTATATTCAGTAAGGCAGTGAATTGAACACTGAATTATACTTGGGCTTTTAAAGAGCCGAGCTGAGAATTTTTCTAAATTCGCACTTTTGGCCTATATTGTGCAATCGATTTCCATTACAAAATATTAATTTACACAGTATATTAAACATTTACACATTTTATGTGGATTTGGATCTTGTAAAGAATCGAGGTTGACTTCAGCATACAGAAGAAAATACACATCTTTCATGTGGTCTGTTCAAATCTTCAGAGCCAAGTAGCCATGGCTTCTAAACATCTTACTGCGTTGCTGTATTTCATAAGAACTAATACATTTAAATCCCCATACAAGAATATGGAAGTTGAACTATATCTCCTATCCATAGTAATTTCAGCTTGCAATTATGCGACACAAGAAGATTGGTTTCCATGGCAACAATAGTTGTTCAAGGAACACTCAAAGCACCATAACCACTGCAATAGTGCTTATGGTGCTAGAAGTGCTCCGGCAGATCCACATTTTAAGTATGTCTGCGCCATCAGTAGTGGAGGTGAGTAAAAGCGCTTGTAGGAGCCCAGGTAAGTAGTCAGACCTTTCTAAAATGGTTTGACCACTTACCATGAAGTAGCACCAGGGCACTCCTGGCATCTTAACTAATAGAGCCCGCTGTAATGATTATGGTGCTTTGAGTATTCCTTTAAAGGAGCCATCTAACCACCATAACTACTACATTTCATTTGTAGTGGTTATGGTGCTATGAAAATGCAGGCACACTCCAGCATTGCTAGGTAAAATCGTTTTTCAGCAGTTACTATATCTATAGAAATATTGTAGCAATATTTTTACAGCATTGTCATTAAAATATATACACGGCTTGTTTATACGTACTTCAACATGGTAGATCTTGTAGGCATTACGTGTGTAGTGCTAATTGTTCTTCATATTTTAGTTTTATTTTATTTAAAGGAAACATAACCTACATTTTCCTAGTCTCTAACTGGATTCATGTGTATCTTGCAGGATTACACAAGCGGAGCAATGCTCACAGGAGAGCTTAAGAAACTATTAATAGATACACTGCAGCCTCTGATAGCAGCACATCAGGAGAGACGAAAACAAGTCACCGCTGAGATAGTGAAGCAGTTCATGACCCCACGGAAACTGGCATTTGATTTCTAACCGCTTATAAAGAACTGGATCCAGTTAACTGTACATTCTAATTTATCTCTCAGAAGCCCATTCTTGTCCTGTACAGTTCAAAGCACGTCAGCAAGTCTTGTGAATAGGCCGCACCTTTTACCTCTCACTCCAAAAAGGTGCATTCCATATTAATGCAATAAAACCATTTCCAATAAATAAATAGGTGTTTGTTATTCTGTTTTTTCCTTGGAAAATACTCTTTGATCATCACTATTTCTGAATTGAAAAATATGGGCTGCATACAAAACCAATGACATTTGGGGCTGACTGTCCCTTTAAGTGACATCACATTTAACCATCTGAGAGCCTTATGGTTCCAAATGCTAACCAATGCACATCACATAGCAGTTGCCATTCATCTTGATACAATATCCAGTCGTTGAAACGTTACAGCTGCATAACAAAACTGAACAATCTGCATATCCACTAGAGGGCAAGATAGGTAAAAAAAATGTAATGTGTGTGCAGACAGCCCTAGCCTATTAACGCCAGCTCTCAGCATGCTCAGATGGCCCTAACTTTAATCTCCTTTCTTTTCTGTTTGAGACTTTGCCAGGTAGGTAGATCATGTCCAAAGTGGTTGTTCATTTTCCATACACAAAACCCAAATGGGAAAATCATGGAATCTCTCGATGACTTTGTGTGATAAGTTCAGATAACACTGCAGATTTCTACTACGTACTTGTTAAATGGGTACTCTAAGCAACATACCACTGCATCTGATTGTAGTGGCTATGGTGTTATGAAGGTGAAAGCCGTCTCCCAGTTTGCTTTGAAATCATTTTAGAGTGGTTTAAAAAAATTGGCTTCCTTAAAAGCTATAGCCCATCCCCTTTGCCAGCCCACACGATCACTTCTGTGAACTGTTGTGAGTATGGTGCTTAGAGTACCCTTTCAAGTCTGTCTCCTCTATCCATTTAAACATCCCATGTGTAGTGTATGAAATGCCAATTTCCTAAATCCATTTTGCAGTTCATGTTTAATGACGTTAGGTCTATAGATAAACAAATGTGCATATTAAATCTGTGTTTTATGTAAATTCCAGTGAGAACAGTATTGTAATATTTTTTTTATTATTATTCATCCCATTCAAGTTATTTCTGGAAACTTTAGGAGGAGGAATGAGAAATGGCTAATTAAGTAGTTTATGCCCTACATATGCCAGCTTCACTGCCTTGCATACATTATAACATTCCTCCACTTATTACTTATTATTATCACTTTGTATTTACAGAATACCCTGTGTGATGTATTCATTTTATTTTATTTTTTGACATTTCAGTACCACCACCAGTGTTAGTGTTTCATCACATCCATTCGGTGCACTGTATGTTGTTAATACCCTTAAAAGCAAAACAATGCAATGCTCATTTTAATACATTATTTATTAAACACACAGATTTATGTTACAAGGCAAAGTGGAAATATATATTTAATACATTCAATATTTATAGGTTAGGAATGTCCCTTTAAATACCAGTACTCTGTGATATGAAACTTGTCACAAATACTTATCACAATGGCTTGTATGGTCCAGCCCACCCACCTGTAACAAAGATTAGGGGCTGTATATTAAATATTAAATTAATTAAAAAGTTATGCGAACTGCTTCCATTTTGCACAAGAGTACAAAAAGAGGTCCCAAAACACCACACACAAGGTGGTGTCAATGTTCCCATGCCAATGTCTTATGGATATGTTTTGATAGAGTTGCAATTTCAAAATAATTCCAGCGTAGTCAACAAGAGCTGTTCACAAAGAATCTGTCTTTACAAAAAGTGGTTATGTCACTTTAATTAAGCAAGTCACAGTGCAACTTAGTATCCCCATGGATGCTAGTGCATGAGAGAATTGTAGTCTAATATGTAAGTAAATAAATTGTAATGGTACAATTTATTGTAATTTACATATCTAACTGCATACTGTATCAATGGTTGCCATAGCGACGTCCACCTGCAGGATGCTACACTGTAGGGTATTTAAATGAGTCTAGAATAGAATGTAGGGTAGCATGCTAAGAGCAGAGTTGTCACCATGGAAACCAGTAGCATCAGCAAGTGCATTCTAGCAGTTACTATGGTGATCATTCCACTTATAGAATTTTGCCCCACATTTTTTTTTTTTTGTAACACACATTCTTCATATTTATATAAATATTCTATATTAACAAATCTCCCCAGGACATGTACAGAAATTGCTTTGGATATGAATTTTGGCACCTACAGGCATCAAAGAAGGCATTATTTATTTTCTCTAACACAAGTAATGTATTAGAATTTTTATACTAACAACATATAGCTATTGTGGCTATTAAAATAGGCAATAACACTACTTTACTTGAGTGTTTCACTCACTGTATTCTCTTCCTCCCCTCTCCCACCCAGCTGTTTCTATTTTACAGCATTTGCCCTTGGCTGGAGTACAAGGTGTACTGCAGAACCTTCTCTGTGCTGGTAATGCCTTATAAATAGACTGCTGTGGTTCTTTTTTAGTACTGTTCTGCCAGAATATTCCATTAGTGAACAATTAACTATTTGTTGATGATATGCATTCTTAAAGGGAAACTATTGTGCCAGGAAAACAAAGTCGTTTTCCTGGCACTATAGCTCCCTATAGTGCCCACTTCTGTTGCTGCCTCCCCCCATTTTTGCCCCTCCTATGGTGCAGAAGGGGTTAAAACCCCCTTCTGTCACTTACTTGAGTCCTGTGCCGATGTCCTTTGGCAGGGAAGACCTAATGCGCATGTGCGGCGATGTCCGCTCTCGTTTTAAGATTTCCTCCATCGTGCATTATATAATGCTTTCTTATGGGGTTTCCTATGACGCTGGATGTCCTCATGCAAAACTCACCTAACCACACAGATGCACCTCTAGTGGCTAACTGGCAGACAGCCACTAGAGATGGAGTTAACCCTCCAAGGTAATTACTGCAGTTTATCAAAAACTGGAATAATTACCTTTACAGGATTAAGGGACCTGGGACACTTCACCCAGAACACTTCAATGAGCTGAAGTGGTCTTGGTGCCTACAGTGTCCCTTTAAAGGGACACTCTAAGCACCAAAACCACTTAATCTTAAACAGTTTTGTTACCTAGACCCTGTCTGTTCCTTTTGTGGGGCAAGACTAAATATTAGCATTTTGCCAAAAATCTCTACTGTCAAATTAATAGCCTCTAGGGGCACGTCCAAATTGAAGACTTTCAGTTTAATTAAAGTCATGTTTAGTGACATTATGTGCAGCATAATGCCACTGAATACTATGAGTGCTTGTCTCCAGGAGAAGCATCTGATCGCAGCACTTGGTGTAAATGCCCTGTAGGTCCTCAGTTCTTCTCAACCAGAAGTACTGGTTTGTGTGTAAATTTATTTTTAATGTAAAAGTATTCTTTAAAAGCATTAAAAACATAACTATGAGCACCACACAAATGCTAACACTACATTCAATGACTATGCTTTACCTCGATACTATGCCACCAAAAGTAACATGGCTTTAAAGTGTTTTGGAAAGGTAAAACACGCAGGTCAATTAGGCCATTGCTAGAGCAATCAATTGATTATTTCTTGTGAACTGAAGATAAGTGAGTGAACAGCAACATGTACAATGTAAATTTCAAATAACTTCAATCCCTACGGTCTTCGAAGCATTGGTAACCTACTGTACATTACTGCAGAGACTTTCTTTAAATGGAGCCAAAACTGATTGGATTTGCGTTCTCGGTATAGCACTACCCCATAAAAGAAAAGGAATAGATAAAATGTGAAATTGTGGACTTATTATTAGTGAAGCACACCATAATGTAATTCATTAATTAGCATGAGCTTGTATTAATATATCTCCCATATGTTCCCATTTCATAGGGATAGCACCTTTTTTGTGGACCAAAATACCTCTGTCCCTCTTTTTGCATTCTGACGTTCCTCATTTGGAATAGCCCTAGTTTTTGGTGTATGTAATAGACATTGTGATGTTATTTAATTTGTATTGTCAGATCATTCTACTGGTGGATTTTATAATACTGATTTCTTTAAAAGGAGCATTTACTTCATTGTCCCTCATTTATACAGCATAAGTGCGTATATTTGTTTAAAGATTGTATCACAGGTCTTGATTCCTAATGCTCGAGAAACACTGCACTGAAATATTTACAACATAGAAATTAGGAATATTTGTCAGATCTTTTACCATTAATAAGCAGTGCGATAATTGACCATTCGAAATTTGAGTGCTAAAGTGCCCAATCTTCTGACACTTACCGTGTACACGGCTTGTCATTTGGCTTCTGTTTAAGAAGTAAGGAGTTTGATTTTCTTCACTAAGACTTCATACGTAAGAAACACCACCATATTTACTGGAAAGGCTCTAAGACAGTTCAGTGAGAGTCCTTTAAAGAGGACAGTGATTCCTTCCTGCCTGACACTCTCTGTGATGCAGTGGACAGCACCTCTGTACTTCTGTTGGGACACTCCATCAACTTGTAGCCGCGATTTGATCACATCCATAGGCGTAGCAATGCCCCAGGCCACCACCCCAGCACTTCCTCCGGAAAGCAGAACACCCAACAATTCTACAAGAAGAGATACACAACAATGAACAAGAGAAAAAGAGCAAAGCCCAAGAAATCAAATACATCTATATTTGAAGATAAAATATTGTGTCCTGCATCATGAATCTAGATTCTATTGTAAGGAATACAATTTTTACAATATCCTTTGTGAAGTTTCCATATTCTGTGATGAAAATATCATACTAAACACTGAAAAATAAATTCTAGACCACGTTCAACACTGAACACTAGGATCAGTGAAGTTGAGTGACTTCCTTGGCCTCACCATATAAGGGGTCAATTCATTAAATGCCAAAAAAAAGCCTATCAGAAGCCAAATGGCGTTCAGTTATCGTAGTTTGGCTGGTTTAAACCCATTTGATGATCGCCTAACTGACGCTGGACGTCATGCTTAATGACATCCAACATGACTTAAAACCCAATAGGACAGCATTATACATGCTTAACTATGGTGAAAATACTAATGTTAGCGCACCCATTGCTGCATGCGAATTAGGTCTCCTGCCGGCTGGCGATGGCAGGGGAGGAGCGGAGGTGGAGCCCCGAACCAGTGCCGATAGACATCAGCGCTGTAGTCAGGTAAGTGACAGAAAGTGCTTTTAACCGCTTCTGCACCACGGGGGAGGGCTGTGTGGGAGGGGGGCACTATGCCCTCAGTTTAGCTCTTTCGGTGTAAAGTTTAAAACTCGCATTAAATTATTTTAGAATTTGGAATTCTTACCTTAGTAAATAACAATACTGTCAGTTTGAATGAAAACAAATCACCTTTCTCTTTTCCTGTGAGCAGACTGGTTTAGTTTTTTCCTATTTTTTGCATGTGTCATTAATATATTGCACTTATTTTAGAAATACGTATATTATTATTTTTTTGTCCACTTTAAAATAATTCACTTTATAAATCTTAGTATCAAAAGGCAAGCGTCACTACACCATCCAATAACTAGCGTAATGACGGCATGGGAGACACGCCATCCACGGGTACAGCTGTGTACACCCCATGCAGTAGGTTTAGGGAGACAGAAAGGGTTATTCACCAAAGTGAGAATTGCAGGGAATTCGTAGTGAAGTTCAAAATTCGGGCCAAAATAGTTCCAAACTGAAAAATTCACCAAATCAATTCTATTTTCCATTTGGAAATTTTGGCTTTGAATTTTAAATTCACTTTGAATTCCGAGTATTTACTACTTTAGTAAATAACCCTGTTGGAGTTCGTAGCCTAAGGGGGTATCTACATTTAAAATGTTGCGGATTGTTATCCATATAACTCTAAGCCATACTTTGCTTAGTCCTTGTAGGCTGGGTATGCATCATGGGTTATAACCCACTGCATTTGCAAGACTTTCTTTTAATTGCTTAGCAAGGTGTTTAAAATCCAAATATCATTTTTCAATACAATCTAATTTTTTTTCCTCTATGGAAATTACTTCATGGCCAGCTCAGGTAAAAGCACAATAAGATTTAGGACAAGAGTGATATTCGTACATGTAAGGTCGTATAAAGGTCTCTGGAATGCAGATTACGGCTGTATTTCAGTCTTCCAGGAAACAAAATGTTTCTAACATGAATGCATTCAGCGCTCACACAGTGTACACTAATTACCTCCGTTTATCTGATAAAAGCAGTTAGTCACATACCTGAGCTGCCTTGCTCAACTGGAACAAACCACTCTCGAAACACGGCATATGACAGGAAATATGTGGCGAATGAGTGACAGTCTCGGAACATTAAAGCGGAACATCCCTTGTAAAGCCCCAAAAATCCCTTCTCTCGCACAATGGTTATGATGCAATGGATTGGGCCAGTATACTTGGGCCCTGCCACTAAAGAACACGTGCTGGAATGGCGTGGAAACGTTTGCGTTTGTAGACGTACTTTGGCCATGTCAGCAGGCGATGATACTAAAGCCTATTTGAAAAAAAAGAAAACATTTTAAAAATTAAGAATTGGATAAATTCACAAGCTGACCATTTTTTTTAAATTTTTTTATTATTATTTATTTTTGACTGGCAGAGTAACACATATATCACATTATACAAAGGTTCAACATATCCAAAAATCCAAAACAAGACATCAACTGTGTTACAGATCTCAGGAATCAGCATCTTATCAAACAAAGTGGAACGCTAGATAAAGTGAGCTCTGAGATACTGGTGATTATCTGAACCTTCTGATGCTTTTTGTTAAAGGGCCACTATAGTGCCAGGAAAACATACTCTGGGGGGAGGAACGGGTTAAACTTACCTCTTTCTCCAGTGCCGGGCGGGGAGCTCTCCTCCTCCTCTCTTCCCTCTTCTTCCGTCACCGGCTGAATGTGCATAGCCGCGCGCGCATTCAGTCAGTCCATAGAAAGCATTCACAATGCTTTCCTATGGACGCTGGCGTCTTTTCACTGTGAAAATCACAGTGAGAAGCGCGGAAGCCCTCTAGCGGCTGTCAATGAGACAGCCACTAGAGGCTGGATTAACCCTAATATAAACATAGCAGTTTCTGTGAAACTGCTATGTTCACAGAAAAAAGGGTTAAACCTAGCTGGACCTGGCACCCAGACCACTTCATTAAGCTGAAATGATCTGGGTGCCTATAGTGGTCCTTTAACAACTCCGCCAGGTTTTTATCATAATATATATAAAATGAAGGAAATTGTCATGTTAATGTAGTCATATAAAGCTCCCCACATCGCCTTCAATAGACTTCACATCAGTATTGGGATAAGCTGGGCTAAATAAAGACCCTAACCTTTATGAGTAAGCAATTTTTTAAAAAAAGCAAAAAAAGAGCATTGCTTTAAATCCCTTGGAGATATCTTGGGCTAGAAGGCCCTTAGGAGAGTCTGCCGAGGATGAACGATAGAAAGAACCAGGAGAAAAAATTAGAAAAGAGGAGATGGAGAAGAAGAAAGAGAAGACGGTCGTCGGTGGAGGTAGGTCTTTTAACATGTCATACCCATTAAAAAGGGAAAGGGGGGGCAGACGGAACGGAGCTCCCGCAGAACAGTTCGTTGAATTCTAAAGAAGTAACATTTTAGTCAGTCAACGTACTCATTGTCAGTCCAGGGTTCCCAGATCTTTTCAAACGTAGGTATAGAGTTCCTCACCTGTGCCGTCAGTTTATCCATAAGGTAGTTATCTTTTATTTTGTCCATTACTGTTGAGATAGACGGGGTAGTGGGCTTGAGCCAGTCTTGGGACATGGCACATCTAGCTGCTAAGGTAATTTTATGAAGAAATTTTTGTTCCGTCCTAGTCCACTGACAATTTGTTTAAGCATCAGCTATTTAATTAACTTAGATTCTACTTGCCTATTCCCATCAACTGTTGTAGCCCATTGACATTTCAATACTCATTCCCATCTCTCTAAAATCACTGTGAGAGACTGACTTATTGGCAGCTTCCTCATATCACATGTTCTAGAACCCAGTTAGGGTAGCAGAGGGAGGGAAAGTGGTAAAAATGCACAAGAAAGTGTTGGAGTCAGGAACATAAAATACTTCAGTGAGAATGGAAAAACAGATATTGCTTTATTTAGAATTCTGGCAAGATCTGAGATGCAGCCATATCTACCAAATCTCACAGTTATCTGGCCAGGAGTCATCTGTAACTCAGAGTTTCCCGTCCAGACCTGTTCGCGAAAAAAAATTACTGGAAGTTTTCAGATGACCCTACCCTACTATGGCCATTTTAACTTTCGATACAAAGCCTAAATACGCTGACTTTTCTATATATCCTTAATTCTAGATCAGCGTTTTAACAAAAGATGTACCATAGGTAAATTAACATAAAACACATCATTTTGGAATCCCTACGACATGGACTTCCATTGTCAAATGAGGCCTTCAACAACTAAATGAAACAGAATTTTTATATTACATAGAATTATAATAATGCCAACAATTGATTTATGTGATTAAATACCTGAGCTGCTCCAGCAGCGTAACCAGACACAAAAATATCCAATTTCGATGGCTTTATATCCGCTGTTCCATATTTCAATTTGCATAATTGGTATAGAAAGTTTCTATAAACACCAAATACAATGGATGAGCTGACTGACACTGTTGAAATTGGCATTGACATCCCTTTGAAAAATCCAGAAACCTTATGTAAAAGAAAAATAAACAAAACAGGTAAGGAGGTTTAGAAGCAAAAAAATGAGCCCATGTAGGTGATAGTGTAATAGAAAGAGGGACTTACACTTTCCATTTTATACGTTGAGTGTATACAATGCCAGATGCCATTATAATTCGTCTGAGTCTGAATTCGTACCTACAGTTTAATTGGGAAATTATAAGACAAGCATTTTTAATAATACATGATACATAAAACACAAATATTAGGTATTTATTCACTAATTTGTGTTTTGAAAAAAAAAATTATAATTAGAAAATTTAAACCAAAATAACAAAGTAGAGAATCAAGACATTTGTTGGTGTTAATATTGCAAATTCAGTTTTACCCATCCTACAAGTCACTGTTTAGTGAATAAATCCAATCACTGGTCCCCTTTTCACTCTGCCCTTGTATAGATATCTGAGCATGGTCTTTAAATATTGGAAAAGGGGCACAGATGCTACTAATTGTTCATACAGATAAAATTTACTTATGCTATAATTTATATTTAATTCTCACATTGTGTACTATATAAAAAAAAAACCTGCATTTGATTACGAAAGATAGTTACATTGCAAAAAAATTAACATAAAAATAGTTACATAGGCTGAAAAGAGACATTCGTTCATTACGTTCAGCCTTTCTCACATCTGGTTTTGCTGTTGGCCCAAAAGAAGGCAAAAAAACAAGTTTGAAACATTTCCAATTTTGCAACAAACTAGGGGGGGAAAAAATCAATTTACACCCCAGAATGGCAGTCAGATTTATTCCTGGGATCACGAATTATTACCCCACTAATTAAAAAATTATATCCTTGAATATTATGTTTTCCAATATGCATCCATATGCATTCCACGTGATTTGTGATTAAATGCTTTATTAATATATTGTATTTTCAATTTGTTAATGATGTTACATAGTTACATAGTGAGATACAGGTTCAAGTCCATCACATTGAGCCTTTAACACACCTGTATTACTGCTATTGATCAGTTTTGTACACAGGCAAGCAACAACTAATAAACAAATTATGTATATATATTATATATATTCTTTGTTTCTCCTATTGTGTCACTGTGAATTCAATATCAACACAGCCTCTCAATATGTCAGGAGGTCAAAAAGACAAAAAATTGGCAATGAAATGCAATTTACCTTTACTGTGTCAAGGGGATATCCCACCATAACCCCACAGGCACCTAAAATGGAAAAAAAAAAAGAACACACCTTTCAAAAACACCCAGCAGAATAGGAAGAATATACATGAAGATATGATGATTACGGGTATCTTAGTGTTTAAATTGATGTTGGGTTTCTATAATCTTTATGAACAGACCTCAGGTAAGGAGGCTCGGTAAGGAGGCACTACGCATGTACGTGGAAGGTTGTGGAACATCTAGACTCATGGATTGGTCTTTGCCAAATTTAAGGAACCTTCTCTTCTAACTATTATAGACCTTTCTGTTGCCTTCGACTCTTGTTGATGATGACTTACTACTTCGTATACATTCTGCCACCTATGGGTCTCCAAGTTATGGTGTCTTCTCTTATACTCTTCATTGGTGTCCTACATGGGTTAATCTTTGGGTCACTCTGCTCCTTGAAATCTATACCCCTTTCCCTGCCAGTCATATAACGTCACACAAACTAAACTCTCCTTTTTTGATATTTCCCCTTATCACAGACTCTCTGCCATCTCCTCTTGGGTGTCCTAGTGCTGTCTGAAATATCACCTTTCGAAAACTGAACTAATTATACTCTCGGCTTCCAAGAAACCTTTAAAACACCACCCAACACCACCGCAAGGAGAAGGAAAGTGCTAAGAATTTTTGCAAGAGTTCATAGAGTTCCTATTTTGTCCAGCTGCTCCTCTCTTCATTATTTATCTGTATGTCTTTAGTCATTCCCTAAACTACTCTAATGACTTAGTTCTCTTAATTCATCCGGTGTCAATTAATTTAATAGTCACACAGCAAATGCTACACACTGATTTGTAATGACCTTGGAAGTGTTTCTCTATGTTGTTACGTATTTATGTCACAGTGATGTCAAGCATACACAAACAGCTTAGTAAAAGCAGCTTTTCGAGCCTGGAGTTTCGCCCACTGCTACTGATATAATGTGCTAAATATTTTTGTTGACACACCGGACAGATCTGCTGGTTTTAAACGGTAAAGTCAAAGGGCATTTCGAAATCTAGGGGTGCAAGGTTAAACTCCGATGTTGCAGAAGTCTGTGTGTCTGTTGTATTTTTAGTATGTACACATAATTCAGAAAATACTGATTGTACAGCTGTGTAATGTACCAATGTGTTAGTACAACTGCTACACTTACATCGCACATCTACCTGATTGAGTAGCTGGCTCACGTAATTTTCAGCAATATCAAACGGTCTCTTTCCTCAAATATTTGTGCGGGATATTTATTAAAGAGTTCTAAAAAAAGTGATCTAGAAAGTGATATTTTTTTAATTTGTTTGTTTTTTCATTTAATATTTTGCTACTTTTCACACAAATTAAATTTCTGTCCGAAAAAGAGGCGGAAAGATTTATAACTCCGTACAAAGGAAGTAAAAGATTAAAAAAAAAAAATGTTTTTTTAAAAAAGAACAAATGAAAGATTTAGCAATTAAAAAAAAAAAAAAAATCACAAAAATAAGACACAAAAGTCTTGTCAATACTTTGATAAATCTTCCTTATTGTGTCTACCTATGTTTTTTATCCTTATTGTATCATTTACTTCCAACGGTTACATAACCTATACCTCCAATATTCTGTGTTCCATTCATTGCTCCTGGTGGTTTGTGTTTTTTTTTTGTTTTTTTTTTAAAGAAGGTATGAGTTTTGGGAGTGCTTGACAAATGAGGATTGTTTCACTCTGTACACAAATGGTAACCTTCATGATACCCATTACCTATTTAGCAAAATGTACTAAGGAGTGATACGTAGTATGTGCTGTGTTATTCAATTTATCATAGATACACAGCTTGGTTTTGTTAAGGCTTGTAAGGAATTCTGGGATTGTAGTCCATCTAATAATTTTTAAAAATTGTCAACTACATAACTCTTTAGAGGTGGTCAAAATGTAGATGATGACATCATCTGGTCTAACTGCAAATCCCATGATGCTATCCCAGCCGCACAGAAGTGTTCTGAACACCAGTACCACAACACTTCTTTTCAGTGGTCACGTTGCTATGAATACAAGGGTGTCTTTTCCCTTGTGTACTGTTTTAGAGTGGCTACACAATATCACCAATAGCCCATACACTCCGCAGCAAGACTTAATGAGGATATAATAGCTCCACATTATCTGTACAAATCTGATCAACCTTGGTGACAAACCCAGAGTCGCTCATCAGCATAACCACTGCTATATGTTATATTGGGTATGGTGCTTATAGTCCCCCTTTAAAGCTAGCAAATAATGGTAACATTTCAAATTTTACTGCCGGAATAACAATAAAATCAGAACAGTGGTTTAGATTTAGGAACAGGTTGCATACAGAAAGTCACCTGTTTGAACAAATGGTTTACGCAATATTGTATAATCAATAAGAGTCTTATCATAGTGGTTGAATGTCACTGGTGAGGTATGCTCAGAGGAACTAACTATAGACAAAAAACACCTGTGACACCATGCTTGTTTCAGCTAATCTTGGCAGAAGTGACTGGGTTGTGCTAATAAACTTCCCAGGCTGAGCACAGAGTGGACTTTAGCATAATAAGTTTGTGCAACAACAAGATAATACAACCATAGTTTGCATTTATGATTTGTGGTGCTTTGGTAACACTATTTGGTATTGGAGATTTTTGTTTACACCTTGGCTATTTTTTCCTAATTTTTCCATTAGTGGCACCTCGTAGACCCCGGGTAACAATTTAAAACATTCTAAAGCAGTCTGACTTCTTATAATTAGAGATGTCGCGAACCATCCGCGAACTTCTCGCGAACGGTTCGCCACGAGCTGTTCGCGGCAAACTCCGGTCAGTTGAAACATGGATGCTGTCCAGGAATTAGGAGGGTCTGGGAGGGAGGGTCTGCTGGAGATTGGCCGGGACGTGTCAGCTGACCGGAGTTCGCCGCGAACAGCTGAAACATGGATGCTGTCCAGGAAGTAGAAGGGTCTGGGAGGGAGGGTCTGCTGGAGATTGGCCGGGACGTGTCAGCTGACCGGAGTTCGCCGCGAACAGCTGAAACATGGATGCTGTCCAGGAAGTAGAAGGGTCTGGGAGGGAGGGTCTGCTGGAGATTGGCCGGGACGTGTCAGCTGACCGAAGTTCGCCGCGAACAGCTCGCGGTGAACCGCGGCGAACCGTTCGCGAGAAGTTCGAGGACGGTTCGCGACATCTATACTTATAATGTGAGGACATTAAGGCACGTCTGGCGTCGTAACCACTACAAAGTGCTGTAGAGGATATGGCGCTTGGGGGTGTGCTTTTAAATATTGATTAATTACATAGTTAAACAAAAATGCAGCTTTTGTAGTTACAGCCACGGATAAGGTTGCATGTATTGTCTTCTTTGTATGACTGATTTTCCACAACAACCTTTGAGATTAGCACCAAGGTCAGGGGATTTAACAAATGCCTTCAAATACCTGGAGAGACACAAATTCAATACTCCCTCATTCACATGAGAGGGAAGATGTAAAAACACCCATAACCCCCACCCCACCCCTCCCTCTCCATTTTAACTCTGTGTAAGGAGAATATTGGCTAATACCAATAAGTACATCCAGATACCTTATATTAAAAGAACACTCTAAGCCCGTATCCATAAATGCCATTTATTATAATTGCAGTGATTATAATAACTTAATTATTATTATTTATTAAAAACATAGGAGATTATAAACAAGTTATTAGAGCTATGAGCTTACATATTAGTTTCATTCAAGTATTTTCATGAATGAAGTAATGTGCGACTGGTGAGAGTTATATTTCCCAAATCTCTGCAGTACAGAGGTTTATTGGATACAGTCCATGCTCCTATTGCAAACAAATAAGGACGGTTTGGACTGCTGGAGAATACTTACCCACTTTCTCTTCCCTGGAGATGCTATAGATTTAGAGAGAAATTCTGAAGAATTTTTATTTTTCAATATTTTAAGTTGTGTTTTTCAAGCTTTGTCATCATGATGCATTAAAAAGGAGATAGTTCAACTAAATCTCGAAGCTCTCAATACTCCAGTTTTAAATACAGTGCCCACCCCTTATATCCAAGGACAGCATCGAAATGGTACCCAATCCTCCTCTTCCTCCATCTACAGAGCCACAAAACAAGTCACAACTCTACTGCGGTGCTGATGCTTCCGGCATATAAAACAGAGCAACTCCCTCATGTAAGACCATTAAATATAGAAGGAAATGGGGTATCTTCCCATTAATTCACAATAATATGAGAATACTAAAGTATCTAAAAAGAAAGACAAATTATGCCAAAGAGTTCCTATCTTCTTCGTATGTAGATATTCAGTTATTTAAAAATGCTTTAAAAGACTCAATCAACTTTTTAAAAGTCTTAATTGCAATGGCTCCCTATAGGAATAACCTTCAGGTGCTGGGAAAGTGGGCCCAACGGGGTAGAAAAAGGAAATTAAAAACAGACGGACTAATGGAAGACTGCGAAATTAGTATAGATGGGCATACATTTTTGGTCAACTGGGCCCCTATGTTACCACTGGAAGGTGGGCAGACCTGATCACATTACAAAATCTTCCAAAAACATATTAAATTAATTGTCATCTGTACTATGTAATACCATAGCTATAAGCAAATGGTGGCTATGTGATCTTTCTAAACTCCATATTCAAATCGCACACTTCTTCACATATGCTGTACATACTGGCTGTTTTTATATGATATAATTAATGGATGGGTTCAATATATCTCACTGTGAATCAGACAAATTACATTTTAAGAATAGCAAGAGATCTACACATTCACAGTCCCTAAATAATTGGATAATAAAAAAAAAAGTCCCTAAATTAAGGATCATTTTAAAAAGCAGTTATTGCATTCATATTATTGCTTCAAAACTGTGATGTATATGATAATAATGGGATAGGAAAGGGTTAATTCATTCTAATCGTAGACATGAATCCATACCGCCAAGCGCTCCAGCTATGAAATCTGCCATCGTGAAGATTCCGTACTTGTGTCACCGTCCTGCTGGGTCTGTCACTCTTTCCTTGTCATGCTCCAATTGTTTCACAGACAGCCCTAACAGCTGAGGTGGTTGTAAGAGATTTTAATATCAGCCAATCCAATAACAAACATTATCTCTCCCAGCTTCAGAAATATACACACACACACGGATTCTCCTGGAATAAAAACAAAAATTGAGAACAAGAGTAAATAATTTTTAAAACAAATCTACGCTTGGATCAGAACGAGCAGTGCCTGGACACACTCCCTCTAACACGTCAAGTGACTAACGTATCACTGTTACAAAGTTGACAGCCTTGGTGTGACTGAATGATGTTCATCCCTGCAAAACTTCATGTCCCCTGCTAATTGACAGAACCTGAAAAACCACAGAGAACTTAGCACACTCAGATTGTTATGTCTAATTTACTCCCTGAAAATCAGAACCACAAATATTTAAAGGATCACTATAGTGTCAAGAAAACAAACTCGTTTTCCTGACACTATATAATCCTTGTGGGACCCTCACCCTCAGGGTCCCCTTCCCCCTGGGCTGAAAGGGTTAAAACCCCTTCAGCCACTTACCTTAATCCAGCGCTGGGCTCCCTCGGCGCTGGTGACCTCTCCTCCCCCGCCGACATCAGCTCCCGAGTGGAGCGGAATGCGCATGCGCGGCAAGAGCCACGCGCACATTCTAACAGTCAATAGGAAAGCATTTCTCAATTTTGCATCCAGCGTCACAGAAGCACCTCTAGCGGCTGTCAGGAAGACAGCCACTAGAGGTTGGATTAACCCTGCTATGTAAACATAGCAGTTTCTCTGAAACTGCTATTTCTACATGTGAAGAGTTAAAACCTAAGGGACCTGGCACCCAGACCGATTCATTGAGCTGAAGTGGTCTGGGTGACTATAGTGTCCCTTTAATATTTACCGAAGTATACATTCCTACAACCCCTCTCTCTACTACAGACATATACCACCACAATTTTTAGATCCGACTGTGACATTCAAATAATTTTCTTTAATTTAGACCCTCGAAATAATTACCAAAATATTTAATCCTTATTCCTAAACGTATATTGCATTCAAAAGAATTGATTGAACTCCTGCTTAGACATGATCTATACCTCAATTAAACATTTTACAAACAAAGGAATCAATGCTGAAAGATCAAAGATAAAAAAATAATAAAAAAAGTAATTTATTGATAAGCCAAACCTATTTGCTGAAGGAGAGGCTCAAAGCTTAGAAGAGATGTAGGATGGTTCTGACTCTGCAAGTTACGGGTTTATTCTTTCCAAATATTTTATATAAACCAAAAATTGTATCTTTATTCTGGCAAACCTTAAGTTAGAACCTCTTTAGACCGTAGGTGTGTTGCCTCCTTTCATCAGTTATCTTGCTTGTGTTTATTCTGTATGATATGTACAGGTAGTTGGATGGAGATGGACCTCACATGTAGCACGCTTTCATGGTAGTTGAAGGATTATGAAGATATTATCTTAAAGCGCGATTTATATAGTCTAATATAAACTGATTCTGAAGCCTAGATCAAATTGCTGGGTGAAGAGATAGTTTAATTGTTAATAGATAAAACTGGAGGCAGTGAGAGATTCATCTTTGCCCTATTTGGACGTTTGGCCATATTGTAAGGTTAAAGAGTTCTCTTTGGACAGGGCAACATGACGCCTTTTACTTCCAACTGAACTTTGCACGGCCCTACTTTGGTAACAAGAGAATAGAATGCAGCTATCTAGTCAGGTTAGGCTAACGTTCTATAATTATTTTACTTTTGCTCTTGGCTGATAGTCTACAGTATATAGTTGATCATTTTAATATTCTGTACAGTTAATATGTATTTAATCATCACAACTAGTCAAAACGGATTTAGTTAAAAAGCTACTACCGCCAGTAGAACATAGGACATTGGCAGACAAGTTTTCCAGAATTATAACAGAAAGGGCAACAACACCAATAATAATTACATTGAGGACAGGAGATTTGGCAAAGCTTTTATCATGAGTCATGATAACTAAAAAACACAAGGTCTAAACTCTGCTTTATTTAAATAGAGGAGAATACATGGTTAACCCCTTAAGGACCAAACTTCTGGAATAAAAGGGAATCATGACATGTCACACATGTCATGTGTCCTTAAGAGGTTAAAGGGACACTATAGTCACCCAGACCACTTCAGCTCAATGAAGTGGTCTGGGTGCCAGGTCCCTCTAGTTTTAACCCTTCAGATGCAAACATAACAGTTTCAGAGAAACTATGTTTACATTTGGGGTTAATCCAGCCTCTAGTGGCTGTCATCCGGACATCCACTAGAGGCGCATCTGCGACGCTGGAGGCATATTATGCCTCCATCGCGCAGAGGGTCCATAGGAAAGAACTGAGAAATGCTTTCCTATGGACACTTTGAATGCGCGCCCGGCACTTGCCACGCATGCGCATTTGGCTCTGCTGACGTCGGCGGGGAAGGAGAGGTCACCAGCGCCGAGGGAACCCCTTCAGCACCACGGGAGGTGGACCCTGAGGGTGGGGGCACCCTCAGTTCATTATAGTGTCAGGAAAACCGCTTTGTTTTCCTGACACTATAGTGATCCTTTAACAAAATAAAAAAACATTAAATAAATAAAACCACAGCTGAATTAGCTTTAAAGTAAACCAACGTGCCTACTAAGGCCCAGGACACCAAGACCAGTGGTGGAACTACCTCTAGTGCAGCCAGTGCAGCTGCACTGGGGCCCGAAAAGCTCAGGGAGCCCATTGAATGGCCAATATATTTAGGACTACCCGATGACCATCTTTAATCAGGGGCCTGGTCAGGTGCCGCAGCACTTTAACAGCGAGACCAGACCCCCTGCACACTGTGATGCACGGTGCTGGCAGGGCTGTATTTATCTTGCGTAACCCGCGGCAAAAAAACGTCGCTCGCGAGAGGCAGAGACATGGTCTGTACCCAGCAGAGGTACAGACTAAATAACCTGCCGGCTGGACCATCAGGGATTTTCTTGCGGTGTACCCCCTTTCACTGGACCACCAGGGATCTGCGTGCTCCGTCTCCCCCTGCAAGGTAATAACAGGAAGGGGGAGAAAATTTGTTTGTTTTTTTTGTTTTATTGGGGTTTTTTGGGGTTTTTTTTATTAGTGATATTGCAGAAGGTCTTGATGGTAAGGTATGTCTTTTTGCTGATGATACTAAGATATGTAACAGGGTTGATGTTCCAGGAGGGATAAGCCAAATGACAAATGATTTAGGTAAACTAGAAAAATGGTCAGAATTGTGGCAACTGACATTTAATGTGGATAAGTGCAAGATAATGCATCTTGGACGTAAAAACCCAAGGGCAGAGTACAGAATATTTGATAGAGTCCTAACCTCAACATATGAGGAAAGGGATTTAGGGTTGATTATTTCTGATGACTTAAAGGTAGGCAGACAATGTAATAGAGCAGCAGGAAATGCTAGCAGAATGCTTGGTTGTATAGGGAGAGGTATTAGCAGTAGAAAGAGGGAAGTGCTCATGCCATTGTACAGAACACTGGTGAGACCTCACTTGGAGTATTGTACACAGTACTGGAGACCGTATCTTCAGAAGGATATTGATACCTTAGAGAGGGTTCAGAGAAGGGCTACTAAACTGGTTCATGGATTGCGGGATAAAACTTACCAGGAAAGGTTAAAGGATCTTAACATGTATAGCTTGGAGGAAAGACGAGACAGGGGGGATATGATAGAAACATTTAAATACATAAAGGGAATCAACACAGTAAAGGAGGAGACTATATTTAAAAGAAGAAAAACTACCACAACAAGAGGACATAGTCTTAAATTAGAGGGACAAAGGTTTAAAAATAATATCAGGAAGTATTACTTTACTGAGAGGGTAGTGGATGCATGGAATAGCCTTCCAGCTGAAGTGGTAGAGGTTAACACAGTAAAGGAGTTTAAGCATGCGTGGGATAGGCATAAGGCTATCCTAACTATAAGATAAGGCTAGGGACTAATGAAAGTATTTAGAAAATTGGGCAGACTAGATGGGCCGAATGGTTCTTATCTGCCGTCACATTCTATGTTTCTATGAACGGCTGAAGGAAGGGAATTAGCGGAGGTAACTGGTCGGTTACCAAGGGGGTCCACTACAGTATCTGTGTGTCTGTACGTGTGTTTGTGTATCTATATGTGTCAGTGTGTGTATATATGTGTGTGTATGTATGTGTATCAGTGTGTGTGGCAGTGTATACGTATATGTGCATACATCTCAGAATTCAACCTCTAATACTGTACAAAAATAAACTTCTACATTCAAACATCAACACTACAGAAACACCACCACATTTAAAGGCAAACTCTACACACAAGTAAACCACTGCCTTCATATGGCAACAGTACATAAAAACATACGACACAACACTACACAAAAATAAACCTCGACAGCCACGCACACATACTCCATACAAAACCATGCTTACATTCAAACATACAAATACTGCTCAGCGCTAAACACAACCCTGCAAAGATGGGTAGTGTCACATGTTCAGCCTCACCTTGTGGTGCCTGCAGTGACAAATGCCCTTCTGCAGCATATTGAAGGACGCCAGCCGCTGTGGACCAATTCCTAATTATAACCCCACGTCAGCCCACGGTAATGTCGACGTGCGCGTGACGTCACGTAAAGGACGCACACGCACATTCTGGGGTCAAAGGCTGGTTATGGCCAATCGGATCCACAAGAGTGTTATTGAAAGGAACACTATAGTCACCTAAATTACTTTAGCTAAATAAAGCAGTTTTAGTGTATAGATCATTCCCCTGCAATTTCACTGCTCAATTCACTGTCATTTAGGAGTTAAATCACTTTGTTTCTGTTTATGCAGCCCTAGCCACACCTCCCCTGGCTATGATTGACAGAGCCTGCATTGAAAAAAAAAAACTGGTTTCACTTTCAAACAGATGTAATTGTATCTCAATCTCTAAATTGAACTTTAATCACATACAGGAGGCTCTTGCAGGGTCTAGCAACTATTAACATAGCAGGGGATAAGAAAATCTTAATTAAACAGAACTTGCAATAAAGAAAGCCTAAATAGGGCTCTCTTTACAGGAAGTGTTTATGGAAGGCCGTGCAAGTCACATGCAGGGAGGTGTGACTAGGGTTCATAAACAAAGGGATTTAACTCCTAAATGGCAGAGGATTGAGCAGTGAGGCTGCAGGGGCATGTTCTATACACCAAAACTGCTTCATTAAGCTAAAGTTGTTCAGGTGACTATAGTGTCCCTTTAAGCTTACCTGTCCTTCAGCTCTTTGCCCTGTCGTGGTTTCCCTTAGTGGTTATCTGAGAGTGTGTTCCTGAGCATTTATTTCTCGTTTTGACTTTGGCTTCGTTTGACAAATCTGTATTCTGGTATCCCTGACTTTTGGCTTTCCCTCATCATTGTGTCTCTTTCTGTGTTCCCGACCTCGGCAAGTATTCTGACTATTCTTTGGTACGTTAAGACTGGCAACTCTAATGCCCGGTAAGACGTTACCTTTTAGTCCTAGGTGTTATACAGTTTTACGTGCTGGATCAACTAGTAATCCTGACAGGTAGATGGTAGAGCCACAGCTGGCAAAGCATTATGGGAGTTGTACGATAAACAGGGAGATATCTTTTTTTCCATCAGTGCAATAGGGGGGCCCATAAAAAATTCAGGGTCCACTATACTTTAGTTCCGCCACTAACCAGGACACAGCATAGATACCTAGCATTCATGGCAGGATCCTGTGTTAAAGGGATATTATAGGCACTAAAACAACGTTAGCTTAATAAAGTCGTTTTGGTGCGTAGATCATGCACCTGCAGTTTCACTGCTCAATTCTCTGCATTTAGGAGTTAAATCACTTTTGTTTAGTCAGACAGACGTGGCTACCGTGAAACGTGAATATTTCTTCAACAAGTAAATGTACATGGCCAAGGAATATTATGGCAGTCACCGATGGGAAGCTGCAATGTACATTGCTCCATTGCCATATGGATATTTCTTAAGTCCACCTGGGAATAATGCCAAGACTGATTACTTTGGAGAAGACAAGAAGAGGTTTCAAAGTTTGTAGTAAATTTCCAACATGTTGTGGAAACAAAGAAATGTTGAGAGAACACTCTCTTTAAATATTTCATTATTTCATTTCTTAGGAATATTGATTTGAAGATATGAAATAGCTGTGGAAACCTAAGAAAACTTACTGAGCTGCATTTTAAGTGGATCTGAGTTTCTGGACATAAGATGTGAAGTATCTGTTGTGAGGCTTAACTATCCCTTTAAACATATCTCCTATACAGTTCTCAGGAAGTTTCTGTAACGCTGTATTTACACACTTTTGTAATTTCGCCAGCACATACTGTTCTGTTCCTCCTTGTGTGTAGGGTCTAACCTGCGTTTTCTATTTACATTGTTGATTTTTTTTTCTCAATGCTGTCATTACATCAGATTTGTAATGTATAGATCTAACTATCACTTGTTCACAAATGTTGCTCACATCCTGGAGGTGTGTTTGAAACTGGAACATCATTCATTACAGCAAGCCAGCGAGACATACAGTAATACCTACTATTAAGACACCATGACGTCACCTAGTTACTTATGTTTAATTCCTCTACTTTAAAGGACCACTATAGGCACCCAGACCACTTCAGCTTAATGAAGTGGTCTGGGTGCCAGGTCCAGCAAGGTGTAACCCTTTTTGCAGTAAACATAGCAGTTTCAGAGAAACTGCTATGTTTACCTATGGGTTAATCCACCCTCTAGTGGCTGTCTCATTGACAGCCGCTTCTCACTGTGATTTTTACAGTGAGAAGACGCCAGCATCCATAGGAAAGCATTGATAATGCTTTCCTATGAGACTGGCACGAATTCAGCCAATGACGGAAGAAGAGGGAGGAGAGTCCCAGCGCCGAGGGAGCCCGGCGCTAGAAAAACAGTAAGGGATTAACTCCTTCCTCCCCCCTCAGCGCCTCGGGAGTGGGACCCTGAGGGTGGGGGCACCCTCAGGGCACTATAGTGCCAGGAAAACGAGTATGCTTTCCAGGCACTGTAGTGGTCCTTTAACATTCCTTGACCATCATGTATCCAATTTAGACAGGTGCTCTGGAAACATTCACTATTGTCAATAATTTGCTCGTTCATTGGCAGCTCGAACTGTGTGTTCCATGGTAACCACCTTCACGGACAACTTGCTTGACAGATCTTTTTGGGTCCTCTTCTTTGTGCCTGAGAATTGAATACAACTTGTGGTTGCTGCTGCCCTCTGCTGTTGGCCATTGAGCAGTGGACGTTTGAGGTGGTCTTAGTGTCTTTGGGAAATATTGTTCACAAACACCTGCAGCGCCAAGGTCAGGAAACAATGCTCTAAAGAATATCCCTTGTAACACGTAAGGCATACCTGCCAAGTGTCCCTATTTAGGAAGGACAGTCCCTATTTGGAGTCAAAACCCCTCTGTCCCTCTCTTTTATTTCCTAATGTCTCTCTTTCCCAGTAGCTCCATATTGTTGGAGCTCTGAGTGTATAACAGAGCTCCACAGCAATAATACAGTAATGTGTCTTTAAACTACAATAAATGTGTTCACTGACGGGGGGGAGACCGGGCAGATAACACCAGCAGATTATCTCTCTTCTATGTATTATCTGGATAAACTTTCCCTTAATAAAGTAATAATTGTATATAAATCTGCTTATTATTATATCATGTTGTATTACCAGTTTTATTCTGGATTGATATTGACGTTAATCTAAAAAAAAAAAAAAAAAAATCACAAATACTTTCATAATAAAATATATGAAAATAACTGTGATAATAAAAGATATTATGCTGTGAGTCTTTGCGTTATTATTTTGGAAACAGATTGCATTAACAAATGAGAAATCGTGGCCCCATCTGTTCTGACAATTATGAAATGTGACTGATTAGATGATTTTTATTTTGTTTCGATAAAGAGCCTTATGTACATTCTAGCCATTTTTTTATAAATTTTCTGTCTTTACTGCTGTTATCCTGTTCCACAGTTTACTTTTACCGTTTAGACATCTATGCTACTGCTTCGATCACTGCCAGTGATGAGCTATGGTAGATGCAGAGGGTGAATTTCACCCAAGTACCTAACTTTTCAGGGCATAGTTGCACTACACACAACGTCTGGTGCATTTTATCAGTCACTCACTAATGCAATTAAAGTACCACTCAACAGTTTTGTAGATATACCACAAATGAATACATGCTTTCACATTTAATGCATGTATTAATTAGGGGTATTTGATTAAAAAAAAAAGAGCTTGCTAAAATTGTAGTTCTTATGACTGCAGTCTTTAAAAACCCTACCCTTTTTTCACTGTAAATGACTTTCAGTCTCTTCTCGGAGAACTATCCAATCAGACCCTTCTAAATGAGAAGCCTCTGCTTCTGTTTAGTCCCTGTGCACAGTTGCGCAAGTCACTGTGTGCTTGCAAGTTGGTTTGTTTTTTCCAAGTTGCGCTAATATTCTAAAGAGTAAGAATCTATTCAAATCAGTGCAAGCGCTTATTTTTCAAGCACGATCACATTTTGGTTCATGTCTGTGAGCGTGCTTCTTAAGTCTCAGTAGGTAGCGCATGCCTTTTGATTTGAGAGCCGCGTGTAACACAGTTTTTCTGAACTCTGCTGGCTGACCAAAACAAGTTTAATTGTATTTGCCAAACATGACATTTTAATCGAACTCTAAACCACCAAAGAAATAAAGCAAATGAATATTTCAATATGACCGACAATTGCGCTCCCTAATTTATAAAAGAACAGAATTCTTTGCGGGCTATTTTGGAAGGCAGACATGCTCTCACAGAAGACACCTGTTACGTCAGTGGAGCTAACGGAAGTAGGACGTGAATCTCCCCAGCTGTTTGACAGCCGAGGAAGTGTTTCTATTTTAAATTTGATAAAAGTGCTAATTTCACAATTAAGTAAAGCATTTTTATAAACGGGTCTTTTAAAGGGGTACTCCATAGCCATTTAGCAATTCAACAAGCAATACTGCTCAATGGGTGTGGAGTGGTTCTTTAATGCACCCTTACAGGGATCAGTTCAGCACTGACAATCATGCAATTTAGACAACAATATTTGTAAGTAGCCACGGGTATGAATATGCGGATACAATATCTATGTAAAGCCTCCCTAATGAGGACATAAAAAAAAAAATTGAAAAACATGAATTTTAAATGCTTAAACAAGCCAGCAGCAGATTGTGAAACACATGATTAGCTATTAGATATGTTATCTACTAAAATAAAAATAATACCATTGTGGTCAGTAGCCTAATTCCTGCCAGTTTAGTTTTGACAAGGTCTGTTTTGCCTACGTTTGCTTGGCAGCTGTTCATGTTAATAGGTGTGGCAGATGCCACAAACCTTTTAATATACTTTCCGTGCCAACTGCAAGCATCACATGAACAATAAACTATTTGAATATTTTTGCAAACACTATGCTTCCTACGGCACTGCGGCTAATCTGTGACCTTACAAAACAGACGTATTAATTTTATTTTTTTTAAAAATCAGAACAATGGTTAGAGGCAATGTTTCTTTACTTTGATTACATTCTGCATGATTTCAAAGAAATCAACGAGTGGGCGAATGTGTTCAGAAATAGAAATTCTACTTCCCATTTCAGGGTGGTGGTTTCACAGGGGAAGTCATAGAAGGAATTAAAAAACAAATTTCACTCAAATTCTGCACTGGAATACTGAGCCCAGTTTGAGAGAGATTAAAAAAAATAAACTAATAAATAAAACTTAAACTGCATTTTTCTTGATGCACATTGGATATTTGTATCAATTTGTGTCATCATAATTTAGCAAGTTGCCAGCTATCTTTTTTATAAATATTTTTTTAAATGCCCACCTTTTCATGATTTGAGTCATCTACAATTTTCTTTCCAAACCTGGAAGTGGCTGAAAGCTTTCAGCCAATCCTGGTGATCTCGTTATATGCACATCCCACAAACCTCTCCACTACACATGGCAGCATTTTATTCCAGAAATGCCCTGTAACAGCTCCATTTGTTGTTTATTTTGTGAGCTAACATTAGAAAACAAGCTCTCTCTATATAAAGCTTCGAGAGAACCCGTTATAGGAGGTTTAACATGGGAAGTGACTTCTTTGCAAATATGTGTAAGGTAAAAAGAAAACATCATTTTTACTGATCATACATTTTAATTGGTGGGTGGCTTATAGCTGCAGCAGTTTGTGCTGATCTGTTTATTAAAGGAACACTATAGTCACCTAAATTACTTTAGCTAAATAAAGCAGTTTTAGTGTATAGATCATTCCCCTGCAATTTCACTGCTCAATTCACTGTCATTTAGGAGTTAAATCACTTTGTTTCTGTTTATGCAGCCCTAGCCACACCTCCCCTGGCTATGATTGACAGAGCCTGCATGAAAAAAAACTGGTTTCACTTTCAAACAGATGTAATTTACCTTAAATAATTGTATCTCAATCTCTAAATTGAACTTTAATCACATACAGGAGGCTCTTGCAGGGTCTAGCAAGCTATTAACATAGCAGGGGATAAGAAAATCTTAATTAAACAGAACTTGCAATAAAGAAAGCCTAAATAGGGCTCTCTTTACAGGAAGTGTTTATGGAAGGCTGTGCAAGTCACATGCAGGGAGGTGTGACTAGGGTTCATAAACAAAGGGATTTAACTCCTAACTGGCAGAGGATTGAGCAGTGAGGCTGCAGGGGCATGTTCTATACACCCAAACTGCTTCATTAAGCTAAAGTTGTTCAGGTGACTATAGTGTCCCTTTAATATTGCAATATGATTCATCCAAAGTTAAACCAGAAATCAGTATAGAAGAGCTAGCTCTGAGCATTGGGCAGAGACCAATTATGCAAGTATGCAGAATAATCGATTATATTTATTAACATAACTGCTTCTAATTGTCCGGATAAATGATGGTCTTAGAAAACAGACTTCAATTAAAATGAAAATTAAAGGGACACTATAGTCACCAAAACAACTTTAGCTTAATGAAGCCGTTTTGGTGTACAATTCATGTCCTTGCAGTCTCACTGCTCAATTCTGTCATTTAGGAGTTAAATCAGTTTGGTTATGAACTTACATACTTTTTAATTTTGCAATAAGCACAGCATTGGATATACGCATATATTTTTCATTGGACTAATTTGCAAATACCATTGCAACATGATCTAGTATCATAGATACTATTGGCATTATTGTTATTTGTACCAACTGGATAAATTTTTTATGTGATGCTTTTTTGCTCCATCTCAGACAGAAATCTGACTTAGAAATATACACAGGATTCATTTTGGCCGATTTTTAATAAAGCCAGTCATGTGCACTGTTTAGTATACCTGTTACATCAGGTATAGGAATAGCCTTATAAGGCTAAGCTGTTTATGTATATAGTTAGTTTGTAAATAGTTGAAGTTTCTGTTCATTTCATTTCTTCCTCTTTTTTTTTTTTCTCCCTATTTTTCTATCTAGTCAGATTTAAAGGGAGAGAGGCTTACTCCAATTTTCCTCCTTATATCCCCTTCTTACCAGTCTATGCGAAGACCAGCCATGCTGAGTTAACATACCGTTTGACTCTGTATTAAGCACAGCACCTGACAGATCTATATCTTTCCGTATATATTGGTACTATCCTGCCATCACCATCACAACATCAGAAGTAACACAAGCTAGTATTATCAATACTATTGGCATGATTACTTTGTATACTAATTTGATACACATACTGTGATGATATTTGCTCAAATCTGACTAATATACATACAGAATCTACCTTACACTGGACCTACTTTTTTACCAACAATTAAGCCAGTCATGTATACTGTGTGGTAGACCTGTTTCATCTAATCAAGGAATAGCCTTTCAAGGCTAAGGAATTTATGTATATAGCCATTTTGCTTATAAGGTAAAGGGACACTATAGTCACCAGAACAACTACAGCTTATTGAATTTGTTCTGGTGAGTAGAATCATTACCTTCAGGCTTTTTGATGTAAAATTGTCTTTTCAGAGAAAATGCAGTGTTTACATTACAGCCTAGTGATAACTTCACTGGCCACTCCTCAGATGGCTGTTAGAGATCCTTCCTGGATCATGGCTGCCTAAAATGCATCCAAACATTCAGTGTCTCCACCCTCTGCATGCAGACACTGAACTTTCCTCATAGAGATTCATTGATTAAATTCATCTCTATGAGAAGATGCTGATTGGCCAGGGCGGTGTTTGAATCATGCTGGCTCTGCCCCTGATCTGCCTCCTTGTCAGTCTCAGCCAATCCTATTGGGAAGCACTGTGATTGGATCAGGCTACCACTTCTGATCATGTCAGCAGACTGTTTGTTTTTCTGAGTCTAACAGCATGCAGAGTTACAGCTTCAGGTTTGAATACAGTAAGATTTTTACTATATTTATGGAGGCATGGGGGGCTAGATGGTGGTGTTAACACTATAGGGTCAGGAATACATGTTTGTGTTCCTGACCCTATAGTGATCCTTTAAGTTTTTGTTACATTTGCCTCCACCACAGAGATCACACCATTACTTTAGATTCTGGTTGGTATATATCCAGGGAGCCCTCTCCTCACTTGTGAGAAGATGTTGGCTTATTCTTTTTTTCTTTTGATTAATATACTTCATTATTCTTTGCTGCCCCTCCATCACAGCCAGCAGTGATTCTCTTTTTGGTCACGAATAGAATAAAAATCCATACCTCCCAACTGTCCCTATTTAGGAAGGACAGTCCCTATTTTGAGGGTCAAATCCCTCTTTTCTATATTGTTGGTGTGTCTGAGTTCATCACAGAACTCCACAGCAATCACACTTCCAGTAATGTGTCTTTAAACTACAATGAATTTCTCTAGAAATCAGTCTGTGGAATGAAGATACATTGCTCTTGTTCTAAATGACTTTTTAGTTGCATGTATTATTAGTAAGCTACCTCATATGTCTCAGAACAGCCACACCCCCACTATCACCCCTAACATTGAAGTGTTCCTCTTTGTCCTTTTGAAATGTTGGGAGGTATGTAAATCCAATAATTGAACTACAACTCATAGAAGCCATTGAAGTGCCCCTATAGCACTGCTTAACCCCTTAAGGACACATGACATGTGTGACATGTCATGATTCCCTTTTATTCCAGAAGTTTGGTCCTTAAGGGGTTAAAAGGGCTACTCCGGGCACCATACCAACTTCATTGCAATGAAGTTGTTATCGTGTGAGGAGGTTCCAGGCACCTTCTTATTTTAAGGGGTTATACGGTTAACAAATGGTTTCACTTAAAAGTCTGGAAGACGGCACCCAATTGCTCTGCCCCTGTACTTTTTTTGCAGGCCTAAGGCATCAATCAGCAAACCTACTTCCTGTGTTGGTGAGAGCTCACTGCAGAAGCTGTAAAACTATGGTGATTTGCAACAAATGCAGAAAGTTCAAATGTGAGTATCTTGTTTTTAATTATTTTTAGTTTGTTTTTTGTACAAAAGAGACCTACTTGGATTAATTTTCTCTTTGCAGCATATGAATACTGCATACTATGAGGCACTACTCTGCATGTACATACATACCCTCAGCAGCTTTTAAAATGATTTATCTACATGAAGCTTTTTTTTTTTTTTTTTTTTTTTAAAGTCTCCACATCATAATTTCAAAGCAATGTGCATGTAAATATTTGCTTAATGATAGCAGTGGAGTTTGCTAATGAAACTCTACCGCATTAACCCTTTTTATGCTTGTTATGCATCTCTGGCACTAAAAGGGTTAATTTGTTTTTATTCTACTTTAACCCCTTAAGGACACATGACGTATGTGACATGTCATGATTCCCTTTTCATTCCAGTTTGGTCCTTAAGGGGTTAAAGAAACTCCATGAATCAAGTCTCAACATGTTCTATTCACTAAAGTGAAAACTGTGAGGAATTCAAATTCTCAGGCCAAAGTAGCTGACCTGGAAAAAAAGTCAGCTATGCTTCCAGTTCGACTATTTGGTCTTAGAGTTAAAATTCTATTTAAATAACCCATAAATAACCCTGCATGTTCTAGAATGCACACTTTCCCACTCTACTGGGCAGCACCTTAAAATCAGTTGACTAATCTGGTAGAGTTCCAAATTAATTACCTTTAAAGGGACACTATAGGAACCCAGACCCCTTCATCTCACTGAAGTGTTCTTTGTACAGTGTCCCTGTTCCCTTAACCCTGCAATATGAAAAATTGTTGTTTTAGATAAACTGTGGCTACCAGACAGCCACTGGAGGCGCTTACTGCAGTTTCACTTGAAATGAAGCTGGACATCCTCACGCTTTGGCGTCAAGCAAAACCCAATAGGGGACATTGGCGCTGGAAACAGGCAAGTGACTGACAGGATTGGTATTTTTATTTTTTTAACCCTTTATCTGTCTCCTCCAAGATGGCGGTTCCATATGACATTCCTTGTGAAATTTAGCAGCAGGCTTGCAACTGTATGTATTTCAAATGCCATTATTTACTTTTTTTTAAAAAAAACAACATTTTTTATTAGAGATTTACTTTGCTAGAACAATGCACAGTTTTAAGTAGGAGCATGATTAAACTAAACTCCTAAACATATGTTGCACGACCGCTAATTTAAAGGGTTGTTGCTAGGTTAGTTTTGCATGTGGACATAATCTTTAAAAATCTGTAAATTGCTAATTGCTAAATTGCTAATTGTAGACAAGATTGGCTCCACAATACTGAACATACTGCAATGGTTTTCCTATGTGATCCACTGAAGGAACAAGTAGTCCTCTTGTGCCCCCAACCATCGCATCATGTGGGAGCAGCAGAGAGGGGTTTAACACAGTTTAACCTCTTCAACACCAGAATCTAGTATTTAACCTTTTTATTTTCATGGGTTTTGCAGTATAAAATCTAGTCCATAAAGCCTCACATGCCCTCATTTATGATTACCAGCCTGTTAGACTCTGCATTACATTAGCAGTCCAGAGATTGATCAAGATTGCTATAGTAGTTTTAAATACCTTTTTAATTTTAGAAATATATGATTTAACTATTTACTCTCTATGGACATTCTACTCAAATGCAGACACTCTTTTTACATTCTGTTGCCATGATGAGTTGTGCCGCTAGTAATGCCCTCGGGGTCCGTGTTAATATCTATAAGCAAAGTATTTGACCATTTTTATTTATCTGTTTTTGTCACACCTAGTATAAGTGAGACACATTGTATTTTTTTGCTTTTATACTAATATTCCGAACTGTGTCCTTTTTATCTTGCAACATTTCACACTGTGCTGTCTAAATCTTTTCATTTCACAAATATTTTTGTAAAGGATGAATAAATTAGTGCTAAATAAATAGTGTACATTTTTTATATATTTTTATATTTGTCTGCAAAGCAATCTATACGTGAAACTGCTGTTATACGTTGATATGCTACCTATGCACCTCTTGCTTCAGATTAATGTTATACTAATATTTTTTTTACAATCAAACCGTGCTTGGTAGAGGTAAGTGCGGCTAGAATAATAAAAAAATAAAAAAATCTGGTTGTGCCAGTTAGTGTAAGTGGTTAAAGCTTCCAGGTGGCTATATGGTTTTAAGTCTGCTATCCATTCATTCATATTTAGGGCAAAGAGTGAAGATAGGGATTTTATTTACTTTACTAAGAAAAGGCCAAATTCCATATGAATTACAGGAACCGACGGAGCACTACAGGCTAACGCACATGTTTTCGGTTGTTGTTTTTTTTTACTTCTGTGCATGATGCCGTTATTTTAATTTCCAGGTGCTTTAGTTATTTGTGAAGAGCAGAAAGCTGAATATTAAACTACAACTCATTGGAACCATTGCTGTTCTCTTAAAGCACTGCTCAGCAGGGGTAGGCGTCCTTCAGCAATCCAGATGTTGTGGGCTAATTCTACCTTAATGCTTTTACAGTCATAATGCTGGCAAAGCATGATGGGAGATGTAGTCTACAACATCTGGAGTGCTGAAGACTGCCTATCCCTGGTTTATAGGATAAGCTCACCAATCTCTAGACCAGGACTGCCCAAAAGGCAGATCCCCAGATATTGTAAAACTATAACTCCCTTTTTAGAATGTTGTAAAATGACAAAGCATCATGGAAGCTGTAATTTTAAACCATCTAGCGATCTACCTTTTGGTCACCCCTGATCTAGATTGTATACTGATTTGGAAGGGTCCTCATGTGCTGATTGTTTCTGTATCTTTTTGTAAATGTCTCATTTATTGTTACATTTCCCCCCTTATAATCATCATAATAATAAATATAAATAATGCTATAGAAAGGTCTAGCAGTTACAGCTTGGCAAACTGTTGTCCTAGGTAGAAAGCTGATAACTGAATTCAGGGGCAGACTGACCACAAAAAAGCACATGTAGTCATCCAGACATGCACAAGTGCATTCACACAGACTCAAATACAAACATGCATTGATACACAGGTCTTCACAATATACACATCCAAAGGAATGCCGTATTATATGCGAGTTATATTTAACATTTATTTAATGCACATATATTTGGCCTTCAAAGGGCCTGGGATCTAACTTTGCCCAGGGGCCCCAAGGGCTCTCAGTCCGTTCCTGACTTAATTACAAGTCCCACAAACATCCACCCTGTACAACTGCTGCAGTGAAGTCACACCAAACCAGGAAATGATAAAGCATTGATGAACCTATCCCTTAAGCGGTGCTTTATGGGTATATCCAGGCTTTAAAGGAATTGTAGTTTCAGATGTTCACTCATTAAAGGGACACTATAGGCACCCAGACCACTTTTTAGCTCATTGAAATGGTCTGGGTGCATAGTCCCTGGTTCCTTAACCCTGCAATAGTAATTACTGCAATTTTTAATAAATTGCAACAATTACCATTGAGGGTTAACTACCCCTCTAGGGGCGGTCTACCAGACAGCCACTAGAGGGTCTTCCGTGAGGGACTTTACGCTATGCATGAGGATAACCAGCGTCACTTGAATCCCCATAGAAAAGCATTATACATGATTTCCTATGGGGAAATGCTAATGCGAGTGCGGCCATTAGGTCTCACCCGCCGGCTCATGTCGGCAGGGGAGGAGCAGAGTCTGAGCCAGTGTCATGTGACATTAGCCCTAGTGTCAGGTAAGGGACGGAGGAGTAGGGGGTACTATAAGGAGCTATAATGCCAGGAAAAACAGCTTTGTTGACCTGGCACTATAGTTTCCCTTTAATGACCTAATTTTCAGAATTATAGTGGGGCACAAAATGCAGACTTATAGAATATCATTATTATTAATGTTTTTAATTAAAGATTAGTAATAAAAACACTCGGAATAACTAACTGTAATCGAATGGGTGGTTGCCTGGAGGGCACCTTTTTAAAGGACCACTATAGTGCCAGGAAAACCCTCAGGGTCACACTCCCGCCAGGCTGGATGGTGAGGAAAGGGTTAAATCTTACCTTTTTTCCAGCGCCGGGCAGGGAGCTCTCCTCCTCCTCTCCGCCTGCTCTCCTCCTCTTCGGCTGAATGTGCATGCGCGGCAGGAGCTGCGCGCGCATTCAGCCAGTCTCATAGGAAAACATTCATAATGCTTTCCTATGGACGCTTGCATCTTCTCACTGATTTTCACAGTGAGAAGCACACAAACGCCTCAAGCAGCTGTCTCTGAAACTGCTATGTTTATATTTATATATATATATATATATATATATATATATATATATATATATATATATATATATATATATATATATATATATATATATATATATAAAAAAGGGGTTAATCCTAGAGGGACCTGGCACCCAGACCACTTCATTAAGCTGAAGTGGTCTGGGTGCCGGGTCCTTTAAGTAGTTTTATTTTATTTTAATTTTTTTTTTAAACTACGCCCTTCTAATAATGATGTTGCCTCCTGTAAAGCTACAAAGTTGCTTTTTGTACTGAGCACTTTGCAAAGAAAGGACCATTACTGGATGTGGCTCACTAACACCCAGGAAGTCCATTAATAAAAAGTGAGACTTACTTAAAAGATGTATGGCTGTATATCCTTCAGAATCGTGTGCCCTGCTCTGTCTGCGCAGGGACAGCTTGAGCTCCTTACTAGTAATCTTACTCTGTCAACGTACAATCCTCTTCACATTGACCTTATCGCTCCCCACCCCTGTTCTGCCGTAACCCTGCTGAAGTCCTCATTGTTCCATCCACACCCTCCCATTTCTGTTCACCTTTATTTCTATAGGCACTCTGACTACCCGCCTCCTTTCCTCCCCTTACAGAACAGGCTGTGTGACGTTTTATTTTCTTACTCCCTCCATGTAAATAGTATAAAATCATGTCTCATAAAATCAGTCATCCTCTAATTCTGTTCTATGCTACTGACTGTCTGCATGTATACGCATAATTTGTGTATTTATATTACTAATGTACGTTCTTAACAAAAGTTGTTTTTTAATTATTTTTCAAATTACCACTGAATTGCAAAAATTTTCAAAGCATAGTAGGCAATCTTCCATTTGAAAGGGCTATTTTAGGGGTTTCCTGCGGTGTCTGAATCAAGGGAGGCAACCTGGTTGATGGTACCTGGTTAATTTTGGTTTATTAATTTTTAACTATTGTTGAGAGAACAATGTAATGGCTAATCAAATAATTAGCCTGCAGCCGTAAGCAAAGAATAATAAACTGTTTCTCTAAATGACTAGGATTTTAAACATAGGACCTTTTTGCTCATAACAAATGACTTTGGTCAATTACCCCAGAGATGGGGAACGCTATGAATAAGTCCCAAAACAGTTTAAAAGGGACCCAGGGTTGCCACTGCTAATTTGTAACTGGGAGTGAATGGGTTGTCCAGAAATGGCTGTGTTGGTATCAATCTGATTAAGTCCTTCTGCTCTTTAAACTAATGGTTCTATGGGAAAATCTTCAACAAAAGAGGTCCATGTTCATAAACTAGGGCTAAGGTACAATACAATTTCCTAATAAAATAACTATTATCCCAATCGTGGCTTAAGATGAACATCCCCATTGCACCCACTGCCTAATAGACAATTTGACTGCAAGGATCAGAGGATCAATGAAAAAATCTGAAAAACCTCGGTTAAGTAGTAACTTGACAGACTGATGTACGCAAGATGCAGAAAATACCTAGCACCAATGGACCCCCCCCATTTTTTGTTCTCTGTTCCCTGCTTTTTTCTTTCTCTCTCCCCTTTCTTCTTCTCTTTTACACCTTCAAAGTGGGAATGTTTATGAGATACCACAGGGCGATCTCCGCAATCCAACAATTTGCATTCTCAAATGCAGAAGGTATCGGGGGACGAGTACTTATTAGATAAACAAAAAACAAGTTGCAAGAGAGTGCTGAGAAAGGACAACAGCTCAATTAGCCTGAACTTCGGTTGGTCCCTGTTTAGTTCTCAGGCTGGTTTTAGCTCATCTTGTGTCATTACAGAGAGAACCAGGCCATGCATCTCAGATTGGTTCCACCCAAAATTGCAGAACATATCCAAAATACAGGCCAGCTCTCATACAGCAACCCCAGATGATCGTTTCAACCTTGTTATGCATCATCAGTGAGGTATAACCAATATCTCTCTAGGCACCGTAAGCAAGGGGTCCACGTCTGGATTACCTTTTCCTTATTAGAAAACTTCTATCTAAAGAACTTGGAGTTTGGGACTCCTCCTAATAGTCTTGCTAAAGCACAACGAGATTGAATTAAAAGGATACTCTAAACACTGTGAGAACTTTTAGCTTAATGAAGCAGTTTTAGTGTATAGGTCATTACCATGCAGTATCAATGCTCAATTCTGTCATTTAGGAGTTAAATAACTTTTGCTTCTGTAGCCCTAGCCATACCTCCCCCTGGCTGTGATTTCACACAGCCTACATGAAAAAAGTTTTCATTCAGATGTGACTGCACACAGGGCTGGCCTTAGGCCTCAAGGTGCCCTGTGCAAAAAATCTTCACAGTGTCCCCCCAGTATACCCCTTCATCCATGTACAGTGTGTTTCAATAGGTGTGTAGTGTTTGTATATAGGATTTATTAAATTCATAATTATTTAAAAACCTAAATGATTCCCCCCCCTTCCCTGTTACCTTGCAGGGAGGTGGGCATGCTGATCTCTGGTGATCCAGTATGCTGGGAGTCTGGTCGGCGCCTCCACCGGGTGCAAGACCATAAGTAACGGTCTAATGAGCTCAGGCACTTACAGTGACAAAGCTTTCATGTGGTAACCCTCATGGTACTATAGTGCCAGGAAAACGAGTTTGTTTTCCTGGCACTATAGTGGTCCTTTAATAGATAGTTTACAGTGTCTAAGGATTTTTAATCCGGAGTACATGATACAAACTTGTCAGGTTTTTGGATTCAGTTCAAATGTGGTTGTTTTTGATTACGGTTACAGAACAAAGAATGTAAACAGAAGAAAGTGTTTACAATGTGTGTTACATAGGGTTGTTTAACGTTGTCAGAAGAGAAACTGGATGGGACTATAAGGGTTACAATGTGTGCTTTGGATGAAAGTCTGTAAGATGCAAAAAAAAAAAAAACCCAACCCAAGCCTGTTTTTAAGTGTTGTCAAGAAAGTGTTTTGTGTTTTGTTTGTTTTTTACGAAGAAGAAGAATGTTGCTTTAAACCTTCTTTTTTTTTTTTTTAATTTACAAAAATGAATGATACCTTTCTATTTTCAAACAGCCGAGTTATTGAAATACAATAGAAAAACCGTTGTTTTTTTTTAATATAAGAAAAGTTAAGTTTGACCTGTTTTTTAAATTTGAGGATCATTGCTTGTTTTGCAAAGCAAAATGTTTGTATTTAACATACGAGTTGTTTTTGGCTTTTCTGTAAATCCGTAGAGCTTGTATATTAGTCAGTCTGCTTTTAGAGGATTTTTACAATCCTAAACCCCCTGCACAATGAATGTCCGAGGTGCAGGATTTCGTTGCTGCCCATTTAATTAATATTTATAGTAAGACCCTAGACTGAAGATTTAGCTAACTCTTTACACCGTGGAACCCATGGGAATCTTATAACTATGCCAACGATCAGTATAGTGCTAGAATTTGCAATATGGTGGGTTTTAATGATATTGCATCTGTTTGCACATTATTGAATAGTTGGTCTTCAGGGCTGCACCGCTATGTAGAAATGCATGTTCTGGGTTAGAAGCAATAGATTAGAAAGAAACACTTCTCCAGTCAAATGAACTATGAGCAACACTTGATTCCAGGACAGAGATTTACTCTATTCTGCAGGAGGCAATGCCTCTGCTTGCTGTCAGTAAGACATCCACTAGGGGCAGTTTCTTTACACTGCAGGGTTAAACAGACAGGACCACTTCATTGAGATGTAGTGGTGCGGGTGACTTTAGTGCTCCTTTTTATTTCTTTAATGTGATTTATGTGACACCTATTCCTTTTGATTATTTTTGTTGTGGGAATTCCAAATGGTTCCATTGATTTTATTTATTTATTTATTTTATTAAGTTGGAACGTCTAATTCTTTTATGGTTCTACAGCTTTTCTGTGTTTCATCTGTTTTTAGAGATTCAGCATAAATTGATAATCCTGCATTGATATGTTAGGACTATGGCTGTGAAAATGTATTGAATGATGTGGTTTAGCCTCCAGTTAAGGACTTGGTTTTGTATCAACTGAGGTAAACCAATTTTATTCTTTAATTCACTAAAACTATAATTGCATTAAATATTGGCCTTAAGAATTTTTTTTTTTTTTACTTATATTTATAATAGTATAAGCATAATATTGCACCCTTACCCAATATAATAAGAATGTAATTCTAAAACCGCCAAACTGGTCTTATGCCTGTCACTGTTAGCTGTTGATCTGTCAGATAATGATAGTAATAATTAATCACAATTTTAAAATAATTTAGGTTTTTCCATAATCAGTAGTCTTGATGATGATGATTTATTATTAGTTTATTTGGATTTATTATAAAGATGACAAAATAATCAGTATTGCAGTATGCAATGATACCATTTATTTATTTTTATTTTAATTAGATCAGCATGCTAGTTATAAGCTTCCTAGAGACTTCCTCATATCTGAAGCAATTTATTATTAAAAATGTCGTAGATTCAACACATCTTTCTATGCTTTTAGATATGGATATTGTATATTAAATATATATAAAAAATGTTTTTCTTATTCCATAGCAACGAAATCACTGTATTCTGTTTCAGGAATAATACATCTGCAGCCATCCATTCTCCTGGTCTGATAAACGGATTATATATCTGTACATACATAACCCACACACTCCACTCTTTCCTAAATTCTACCCCCCAGGACCTCCCCTCCCCTTTGTTCACCCCCCTACCTTGGCTTCCTCGTTGATGTAGATACAGATGATGTTGAGATGTCTCTCCTCCTCTCAGTCTTACTCACTCACACACTCCTTGGTGAGAGCTGAGGCTGGAGGTGGAGTCTGGGGGTGTTGTCCTGTCCCTCTGCTCTCATTGGGCAGGAGGTATCTCCTAAATTAGGGCATTTGCACCTTCTTGGGTGGTGTCTGGAATAGAAAGGCTGGTATTAGTACACAGCCGGCAAGGGGGGGGAGCCAGACCTCGCCTGCTGGAGATTACTGTGCATTGACTGACTGGCAGCTCTGGGGAGCAGGAGCTGCGGGGGGCTTGCAGAGCTCAGAGGACCCCAGATCCAGGCTGCTCTATATTTATCAATCCCTGGAAAATAGCGATGGACTTCCTGGCAGGATGTGCTGGAGGTGAGACCTGACTGGTGGGATTAGACAGGACAGTCTGGGTGCCCTCCATAGCCATGACAGAGGGGTAAATCTGTGTGCCCCTGGCATCACACTGGGGGGAAGGGGGTAATCTGTGGGCCCCTGACATCACACTGGGGGGAGGGGGTAATCTGTGTGCCCTCCATAGCCATGAGAGAGGGTATAATCTGTGTGCCCTAGCATCACACTGGGGGAGGGGGTAACATGTATGCCCCTAGAATCATACTGCGGGAGGGGATAATCTGTGTGCCCCTGACATGACACTGGAAGGAGGGGGTAATTTGTGTGCCCCTGGCATCACACTGGGAGGAGGGGGGGGTAATTTGTGTGCCCCTGGCATCACACTGGGAGGAGGGGGTAGTCTGTGTGCCCTTGGCATCACACTGGAAGGAGGGGGTAATCTGTGTGCCCCTGGCATCACACTGGAAGGAGGGGGTAATCTGTGTGCCCCTGGCATCACACTGGGGGGAGGGGGTAATCTGTGGGCCCCTGGCATCACACTGGAAAGAGGGGGTAATCTGTGTGCCCCTGGCATCACACTGGGGGGAGGGGGTAATCTGTGGGCCCCTGGCATCACACTGGAAAGAGGGGGTAATCTGTGGGCCCCTGGCATTACACTTGGGGGAGGGGGATAATCTGTGGGCCCCTGGCATCACACTGAGGGGAGGGGGTAATCTGTGTGCCCCATGCAACAAATCACTGAGAACCGGTAATGTTTGTCTCCCTGGCATCACACTAGAAAGGGGGGTAATATGTATAATCCAGGCATCAATGCACAAAGTGAGGGGGTATAACATGTGGGCCCCTGGCAGCACTGCACAGAGAGTGGAGGGGGGTCGTGTGTTCCCCTGGTATCATTACACATGGGACATTATTACACAAAGTGGGGAGTGGTATGTGTGCCTCTGGCTGCCTGGCATCATAACACCGAGTGGGCTACTGTATCTTTTCTAGTGTGCCAATGATACCAGTGAGTGATGCAAGGTGTGATCCTCAGTATATGGATGGGTTCCAATAAGAGTACCATCACAATATGGAGGCAGATAGTGCCCCTCATTAGGAGAAGACTACCACCACTATATGGAGGTAATATGTGATTTAATAGTGTTTCTGTGATGAGTACCTGCCACTATATGGAAGTAACCTGTCAAACTCACTATAAGAAAGATACCAGTGACAACTCCAGTATCACACAATAGGGAGGCAATGTGTCTTCAATATAAGGTGCATTATCAATGATTATAGTCACCACTATATGGAGTCAGTCTGTGCCTCTCAATATGAAGACAGGTGCCAATCATGCTAATTGTATACTGTGTGGTGGGAGTCTATGCCAAGCAGTTTAAAGAGAAGTGCTGATGGTGACTGTGGCAGCCTTTGCCACTCTATATAGAGAGTGTGCCATGGCGTTTAACACTAAGAATGAGTAAGAGGGAGGCAGGGACAGGTCCTTACTAAGTGTCAAGATATTGATTTGCTTTATGGGCAGGGAGGGTGGCTGGCACTGAGCCCACTCACTGCTTTCCATATGTCACAGGAATAAATTATGTTTAGCAATATCTCTTCCTGTTCCTCTGAAAGACCAAAGCATAGAGATTCTTTTTCTGCAGGTTCTGGGTGCTGAGGGGACTTTGCCCACTGAAGGCTAAGAGGGTTGAAAAGTGCAGTAATTGTGAATGGGTTTATTTGTATCTTCCTGGGTATTTTCCTGTACCTTGGCCCTCTTGAGATTAAGATAGCTGCAGTGGGGGAGCTGTGAGCTCAGATCAGCATGCAGTGTAAAGAATGCAGCAAACTGTACTCTGTGCAAAGGATACTGCATTGCTAAGTATTCTAGTCTAGTCTAGTCTAGCCTATAGCTTCAATCAAGACTGGGCTATGTGCGTTATAAAGAAAATAATCCATATCCCTTTCCCTTGGTGTGGCTTATTTCCTAAACTGGAAACCAGAAACTGCATATTTTTTATTTATTTTTATTATTTTTTTAATATTCCTTATCAAATTGAATCTATGATGTATCTTCGCAGAGTCCAGTGTAAGTGGGTAAATGTATTTATGCATCACTAAGCCTTTGTAATAATGTCAATTTTATATCTGTTGTGGTTTCTTTTTTTAGTGGTTTTTCTTGGTTGGTTGTTTATTTTTATACCTATTTTTTTCCCCCAAGCAATTCTGTAACAACCCTGCACAATTCCAGTTATTGGCAAATTTAAAATAAAAAAAACATATCTTCTGCATCACAGAGTCCCTTCAAAGGACACGTGAGTTAATCTGTTGCTAAGCCACTTCCAGTACGTTAGCCTATGCCTAGATCTACTCTGATCCTTGGACAGCTTGAAGAATACATTCTTTGTGCAAATAAATAAACTGTGTAGGTAAGGAGCCCATTGTTCTCAAAATGAAACTATTCAGGCTTCTCTGCATTGCTCTGAGTCATAACGATGGCTCAGGCTGTGCTCCCTTTTCATTGCTAGGATTGCTAAAGAGGCTTGTTTTTTGCACATGCTTCTGACTTGTATATGCTGATATACAAACTGTACAACAGAATAAAGGAGGTAGTGGTGAACCCTTGGTAGAAAATAAGATATTTTTTTCTTTTTCCCCCAAGAGGTCTAACATGTCATTATTTTATTACAATGGCGTTGATGCTGATTTATATTTGAAATATATGGTATGGCAAAATGTTAGGCCACCCCTTCCCTTTTCACAGCATATGTGTCTGTATGTAGACACGTTGACCTTTTGGTTATGTGTGTATCTCCTGAGTCGACTCAATGCTTGGAGTTGGAATGATGAGATAGTCCCTTGAGAATGCAGCACATGTATGTGTATTGTGTGGGATGGTAGAATTGATGATCCTAGATGCCATGAGCTTTGAGAAACATTGCATAGTTGTTTTGTTGATCTTCGATTTTGCAACAGAATTTTTGCCAGAACGATAACACTTAATGGGAAAGCAATGATCTCTAGCAAGTGTATTAGGAATAGCTAGGTCTGGGAGGTAACCCATAATTATCCAGCCTCTCTAACAAACTGAAATGTAGGTGTCATTTGCCAGTTTTCATTGGCCTATAAACCAGAATTAACCATGAAGGGTCTTCATTTTAATTCTAAATCGTATATAAGACCTGGAATTGCTTGGAATGGTTGGTGGAGATAAAACCCTGGTCCATCTGAAGACTTCACCAGAAGATGCTTCTGAACTGGAACAAGACTGGACAGAGAAGGTCTATATTGCTTTGAGACCACCATAGAGCAATTGTGTAATGAAGAATGGTTTTGTTGTTGCTGAAATATGTTCGACTACTGGAAGAGTGACATTTTGTATTTCTTCAGTATCAAAAATGTTTTTGTAATTGCTCTGAAAGCATGTCTGTACATTAGTTATCGGGGCGTTGTTATTTAGTTGTGGAAAACACAGGCTTATGACTGACCTCACCTGCAATGCAAACGCCAATGGAAATCTGGGCTTAGCATGAAAGTGCTTTTCATTTATGAACCCATAGGCACAGAATTGTAGTTTTAAAAAAAACAAACAAAAAAACTTTAGTTTTATTGTGCAAAGAGGAACAAACAGGCTTGTGCCGCCACAACAGCGTTAACAAGCATTGCATTAACTTACAGTAAAATACATTGCCATGGCATGAGATACTTGCACATTTTTTTTTTTTATAACAAAAATAAACAAATGAATCAATGCCGCATGTGTAGTTAATAAAGAAGACCGTTTTATGTAGACAGGAGTGGGTCGTTTTATTTTATCATTAGAGACACAGTGAGTGATATTGGCATTGGTGAATACAGGCATTAAAATATTACATCTCGGGTAGTTTAACACATGAACCAAGGGTTTTATAATAAACATTAAACGTAGCGTGAGTGTGGACAAGAGTTGAAAAACAAAACAGTAGTATGTGTGCTCAAGGTGTCAGTCACATCTAGGTTTGAAGCCGGGATGAGGGTACAATCTGAGTATAGCTAGATGTGCGCTGATGTGTCGAGAACCTGTATAAACTAGTGGTGCACATATCATGAGAGCCTGGTTGCTCTAAGCCCTTTGTAATGGGCGACCAGGCTTTTGATAAGACATGTCCAAGGAGTAAGAGATGTTGTTTAGTTAAGGCATAGGGTAATGCAATGGGGCGAACAGATAATTAAACATGCTGTGTGAGCTGGACCAGAGAGTCAGCCAATTCATTAGACTGGGTACTAGCCTGCCATGCATGCACAGTTCAACGAGGTGCGTCTTGCGATATGGAGGTAGTCCCTCAGGGTAGAGTAACTCCGCCAGCCCAGCAGTGTGAGGGCTGTTGTGGTGACCGGGAAACTTTGCGACCTCCCTGACTTCTTCCATGCTTCTCCTGCTTCCGCCTAGCAGTCCTAGAGCTTGTCTTCCTCTGCTCCGCAACAGACCTGTTCGCCGCCTCATCAAGTCATGTTTTCTCGGTCTTCGCCAAATGAGGAGCGCCCACTTAGGAATGGTGACAGCCAGTTGGGCCCGACTACTTCGAGCTGACTGCCCAGGTGGGTGAGTGTGGGAGGATTGTTTGGTGGTTTTCGTCCCGGGTAGGTCAGCAGAGTGTGTATGTGCCGTTTGTGTCTGAGGCCTTCCGCCATTCTGCCGCTCGCTTCTCTGTTCACCGCCCGGAGGCTGCATCTGGGTCGCCGCTGTCTTAGCTTCCAACTTAGCCCAGAAGGTGTTGAAGTGTGCTTCCATTATCTGTAAAAATTTCTCAACGAGTCGCTTGGGTCTTGGTGTGGCAGCTGTTGTAGGCGTCTGTCAACCATCTTGTGGACAGAGGCGCGGTCCGCCATGTAGTCTAGGTGGCAGGTAGTCAGCTCAACATCAACGCTGGTGTGAGTGTGGGACCGGTATGACCCCCACCGGTCCAAAGGGGGGAGTGGAAATTGGATCAACAGGGCCATGGAATGCATTTAGAAACATTGTTGAGTTATATATAGTTTAATCTGGAATTCTTATGC